AAAATTTTGAAACAAAAATTTAAACTATTTTAATTTGAAAACTGATTGCGAGTTACTACGAAACAATTTATTTTTAAGCGTTTTTTTGTTATAAACTGAGACCTTTGAAGAAACTTATTAGTGTATTTGAATTACATTACTAGAGAAGTTTTCCAAAACAACAGATTTGCGATAAATCATTAAAAAAACGCATATATCATCTCACTAAAAAACCTATTATTTGTCAAATCAATAACTTGATTCAACGTGCAAAAAATCGTTATTTGTTATCTAAAAATAAACATTGAAACGCGCGATTCGTGGAAGAGACCTTTATTAATATTTTTTTACCGCAGCTTGGGCATTTTGTGTTTCACATTTCCTCGCCTCTCGTGCGGCCGGATAAAATTTCGATATTATTTCTCTTTGCAGCGCATTTGCCTGGTGATAAATTTTCCATCAGGCAGGTGGAAATGAATTTTTCATACGCTGAGCATACACATCGAAAGCAGCCAATTAAAAAATTCAAACACAGCTGGTGCGGAAAATAATTTTTGCAGCACGGTTCGTTCGTTCGCTTGCTCGTTCTCTCTCTCTCTCTCTCGTCCTGTGACAAAAATTATACGCAGAGAGAGAGACCCGGCGAGCGGCGGTGGCGGAGGCGGACGGAGAAAGGGTTGCTCGCTCGCTCTCATCGGGGCTGCCTGCGCCGTTCGTTCATTGCCGGCGAGCACATGGTGGCTCTCTCACGCTGGCGACAATTCCTTTTAAAACTTGCGATGCCTTGAGGTGAATGTATGAACCCAATATACAGCACAGAGTGGATGATTACACCAAGCAAGCACACGCTCGCTCACTCGCTCGCGCAGAGAAATTTTTCTCTCGCTTAATGAAAATTTTTCCAATATCATTTGCTGCCGCCGCAAATGGAAAATTCGCGCTGCACCAAAGCTCTCCTCCTCCTCCGCCTGATGAGAATCTCTCTCGTGAGGAAAATTAGACGCGCGCAAACAAGAATCCTGCCGCGACTGCTGTCGAGGAAGAGGAGTTTTTGGCCATTGGAAAAGTTTCTCCGTTGCGGCGCTCCGTCGTGTTGCAATTGATTTTTTGCTTTCGCTCGCCGACACGGAAATGAAAAATCTGTCAGCAGAGGGAAAGCTTTTAGACGCGACCGTGTTCGCGAAAGAGCAAAGTTGCATCGCGATTCCATTTCAGGGCAGGGTGCACTAAAGTGAAATTTTCCTGTCAATAAAGAACGTTTTAGAATGATGAATGAAAATTGACAACCGGCTTTCCTTTCGTGTCGTGCGGGTTGCCGTTTCCTTATTTCAAAGGGGTTTGCTATTGACAGAATTGGTCATTAGTCTTACCTTATATGTTTGTATTTTTAGTCTAAAATTTATTTTTCTTCATTTCTCTTTTAATTTTGCCAGGAAAAAAGTCTGTTAAATAAAACAAACAAAGTTAATATTTTTTGTTATAAATTATAATAATCAAAATAAAAAAAATTGTGCTTTTAAATATACAATTTTACCATAATTGCATGCATCTTATTAAAATTAAGGCATTTCTAATAATATTTTCAATTTAGGCTTCAAAAGTAAAACTAAAAACTCCAAAAATTGTACTATTTACCCATTTAACTAGAAAATGTTTTATTAATTATTTGATGTGTAATTTTTGACAACTTGAAATTTACACACCAAGATCATGGTTTCCAAATTCAATGTTGAAGTCGAGTTTCGAGTCAGTTGGCAAAGTGCAGACAGGCGTAAAGCCCATGTGGCAGCCAGTTGACAGGGTCCCCAAATACTAACGCTCACGTACCGCGTAATATCACTTTTCTCACGAGACCGGATAATAATTTATTATTGGATTAACAATCATTGCGGCGGCCTGCTCGGCGACCAATTGCATGCATAATTTGGTCCCCGGCACACACTCGCAGCACCCGGCCGCGCCGCAGCAAGAAATGCAAATCGCGTTAGCAGCGGCGGCGTGTGTGCTTTTGCCAGGCAGAGGCGCAGGGGTATCAGCCAATGTGACAAGCAAGCGTTCCTTGGGGAAGCAGTTTCGCTTGCTCTACAAATTACTCGCTTAATAGGATTTCCATTTCATTTCTGTGTTGCCAAGCAAAAGCACTCGTGTGCAGCGTTGGTCGCCGTATTGGATGAAACGTGCTGTTCTAATATTTTGTCAAATCCTCCTAGTCCTCGCACTGCGGCAAACAAGCGTTGTTTTGCCACCAGATATATGAGAGGAAGTAGAACTTTGCTGTTTAATTACTTGAAATTGGCCAAAATTTTTGTTGTGAAATAACTTAAATTAAAAAATTTGTTGTTTAATTAAAAAAAAATATATATTCAAATTTTGATTTAGACCATGTCCATCTAATTTTTGTCGCTCTTGGAATGATTAAAAATTAAATATTAATAAAAATACCAAAAGTAATATAAATTAGTAATTAATATTAACGCTTCATTATTATTTATGCTTATAAAATTTATATACAGAGACAGTTTATTTTTATTTTTCGGAATACTTGATTCACTGATTGTTTTTTCAACAAAGTTTTTTTCTACATTTTCGCTCTCACCCAACGCTTGTTTAAATAAATCGCACTGCATAAATCAGGTCCATTTGAGCATAAGTCTATGCTTTCAACAACTTCCAATATCGCGATTTTATTAATTAGTAATCTTATTATTTATTCTCTGACCACCTTCTCTTGGACGCAGCAATCCGTCAAATAGATTTACGACTGCGATCATGAAATGAATGAACACGGTCAGTGCGGCGAATGGAATAATATGAAAATATAAAAACTGAATCGCGTTCGATCGAGCGGTTTGATCATTTGAGCAGCACTCACTGGTGTGTTCATTAATAATTGCTCATTATCGCTGCGAGCTCTCACGCGGACGTGTCATTTCATTTCGCAGTGACCGCACGCATGATTTATCCCATTGGCCGTTAATTACTCCGAGGCGTATGCGCGCCTTCTAATTGCTCACAACTATAATTAAAAAACTATTTATGAGAGTTGCTTTGTAAATTTTTCAATATCAATACCCTTAATTAATCAAGAGGTTTTATATTTTTTTTCAGCAGTTCTATCAAAGTTTGAATTACAAATCTGGATTTTTAAATTCAGCGATGTTAAAAAAAAAACGTATATTTATAAGAAAGCAGAGGTTAAAAAAATTGATTATGATTACACAAACTGTGCCACAAAAAATTAATTTATAAATATATCTTAACAAAACGTTTTAAGTTCTGTGATAAAAATATTATTTGTGTTCCTATTCATACAAAATGATTCAACGATTTCAACGCTATGCGTCTGACGTTCTGGACACAGCTATAGCAAAGATTACGGGGAGAGCGCAGCGCTCTCTCATATATACTGGCAGGCGGTAGCGTGGCTAATTCATTGAGCAAATAGCGTAAATAAATGCAAGAGTAAATAAGGCCACACGGAATGTACAAATGCACTCGCACTGATAAAGGACACGGCTAATTGTGTGGGATGAATAAATGAAGCTCGTGGGAAATCAGCTGCGCGTCGTCGCGAGGAGCTGAAAATCAGCAAAGAGGGTTGCCTTAATGCATTGACATAAAATAAGAATATGTTATAAGCGTAAGTGAATTAAAATGTGTGAAAATTTATGTGGAAAAAAGAATAAGTATTTTAAAAATAAGTTTAAATGAAAAATACTGGGTGGTTTTTATGCACTATCTCATCTTGAGAAGAGATAAAAACGGCGCGTATAAAGAATCAGGGTGGGTCGCACACGAAAATTTTGAGTGGAAAATTGAAACGTGTTGTTTGAGAACACGCACATACGCACATTAATGCTTACTTTAATGCGCACAAAGCTCGGTGCTACACTCTCTGTGAAGCCCCGCGGCGAAAATGCGCACGATTCTAAAAAGAAGAGCTCGCGCGTATTCACCTTACTTTACTCTCAGCGTTAAATAATTAAAAGTTTACTCCGTCGCGTCTAAAATTGTGCTCCGCGCCAGTGCCAATGTAAAGAGTGCACGCTTGCATTTTGTATTCTAAAATGTTTTGTCTTTGCAGTTTGCAACTCAAGAGTTGCTTGAAAAGTTTAAACAAACGCACAACAAAACATGAGACCGTTAAAATCAATTAAAATTCATAAATTCATTATAAAACTAGAACCAATTTTAAAAGTAATATTTTAAGCAAAAATTTAAATTATTTTAATTAATTAAATTTTGATAGATTAAATGTGTAAAAAATTTATTTGTAGTGGTAGCTACAAGAATTTAGTTAAAATTTACAATTACAGCGCTGATTTTCTTGAAAGCATCTCCTTATTTCTTCTCTTTTCAGAGAAAAGCTTGCACAAGACAAACAAATACAAACAACGTGCACGCAAAAAGTTAAATTACAGAAATTGCCCTTTGATGTTGCTACAGTTTGGCAAATATCAAAACAACTCTAACAACTCAAAAGAGAGAGGCGGGCAAACTTGGCGGCGCACACGTATAATAATCTTTATATTTGCCCCGCAACCACGATACGCGCTGGAAATAATGTATCAAATTAAACAAAACGCAGCCAGCAGTGCTTACACGCGGCGCTATTTGTCTGTGTGAAATGCTGCGAGCCTTGAGCTTTGCACAGCACTTTTGTTTCAGCTTTTGTAGCTTTTAACTTGGCAAGTGAGCCGAGCAGGCAGATCCGCGCACACATGATACATAATTTGCAACCGCACGCTGTGTGGCAAAGCTTAATCTTTGGATTCAACAAGTTGCAAAGATTTGTGCAGCCAGGTTGAAAATTAACTTCTGCTCAACCTGTGGGCTTAGAATTGTCTTGTGCAGTTCCCTTGAAACTTTGCTCTTTGACGTGTCTCTAATTAATAGAAGACGCAAATTTTGATTCAGTTCACAAAATACACCTCCAAGCATTACTCTGATATATATTTAACAGTGAATTCTACTAAACGTTGGGCAATTTTTGAGTGAGAGAAAAAATACAATAGAAACTTTTTGTATAAAGTCATTGCTTTAATGGATCTAGTTCACCTCATCAACACTGGAAATTTACAATAAATTGTAATTTTTTGTGAAATATCATAAACTCTTGCATAAGTTAATCTGCTTAACTAGAACTAAAGCCAAATTAAATAAAAATGTCCCAATAAACGCTATTGGAAATCACTTTTCGTGGACATGGCGGTTCTTTCAACACTCACTCAGGTATCACAAAATACTTCAATGTGCCGGTGCAGAGATGGAAAGTAGATTACAGATCACACAACTTCAAGCCGCCCAGAGCAGCACGGACAAGGAAGCAATGTATCTTGATTGTGGGAGAGTGCGTTTCTCTCACTGTGCATTGCCATCAATTCTTCGTCCGTCAGCTTTCTTGACTCTTGGCTGCTTTCTTCCATTTTATTGAGGAGGGTTGTGACTTGGTCAGCAATTTCTAGCGCTACACTTTCATAGTCTTTAGGCTCCGACAAAGGCACTGGAAATGTATGTTCAAAAATTAATTTGAAAGTCCCCAAGTTATGGAGGAGAGATAAAATTACCACTATTATTGTCTCTCTGCCCATTCACCAGTTGTAGCACCAAATGGCCTACTTTCTTCAATTCTAAAAGTAATTCGTCTCTCTCTGTTCCCATCCGTGCTATTTCTCTATCCTTCTCAGCTGCTCTTTCTCTAAGAAGACACCTTTGTTGTTGGTACAAGGTAACGTACTCTCCTGTAAAAACAAAATAAAAATGTAAAATTAAGTAAACCCTAATTATAAATCAAAACTTACCAATAGTTTCAGTTTCTCCTTGCAGTTGCAGCACCAAATGTTCCAGTCGTTGCTTTTCATCTGCAGTGTCGGCCAATTTTTTCATAACGTCTGTGAATCGGTCCTGCAGCTTTTTCGACGCCTCTGCCGACAAACTCTCCTCTTCATTGCCTGTGTCGTGTCCATTGACCTGCGCGCCATGTGACTTTTGAATCAGCTGGTTTTTCAGGTTTTTTATTTCATTCTGAAATTAATATCAATTAGGCCCTTATTTGCATTCGGAATTTTTAATTACCTGCGCTTCTATCAAGCATTCTTGTAAGGACTGAGCCTGTCTGGCTCTAGCCTCGTAAGTGTGCAGCTGTTCGATCATCTGCGCTTTCATCTGTTCCATTTCTAGAAGCTGATCTTTGAGTTTTGAATTCTGCGCTGTTGCTCTCTGTGCCGCCACCCGATCACTTTCCATTGCTGCTAGTAATTTTTTCTCATCAGGTCTCTCCTCTTCAAGACGGCGAATTGTTTCCTGGTACCTCAAAATACTTTCTTCATAAACAAGTCTTTCCGTCTCCTAATTAAGAGAAAAAAATTAGATGAGTAAAATATTCTGATATATAATGCATAATTTTTTTTTTTTAATTTTACCTGTTCTTGGATCTTCCGTTTCCAATCTCCATTCTCCTCTACAGCTGCTTTTAGCTCTTCTTTGACCATTTCGAGCTCCTTGCTGTCCACAGGAGGTGGATTGTGTGCATTGAGCTGGTTGATTTTATTCAACCTCGACTCCAAACTGCTCACATGCTCAACCATCTGCTCATTCTGCTCTTTCAATTTATCATTTTCTTGTGTCGTTTCTTGAAGCTGATAACATAAGAAGTAAATTAATGAAAAATAAAAAATTAAAAAGTTTAACTACCTTTGAGGCTAAAGTTGAGAGCTGATTATTCAACTGCTGGACAAACTGCTGATACTGTTGGCTGGCTTGTTCTTTCTCAGAGAGTTCTGATTTCATGTCTGCAATTAGTTTTTCCAGTCCCGCGCTCTTTTCTTTTTCTGCCTTCAACTCATCAAATACAGAGCTGTCCTCTGAGTCTTTGAATGAACCTCCCATCTAAAATCATTCAACTATTAAATTGCCATTAATTTTTATTTTTCGCGGACCGACCTGCTTTAGTCGAACTTGCGTGGATGTGAGTTGCGCCTGCTTTTCCTGCAGCTCTGTCTGCAACATGGAAACCTGCTGCATGGTGACATTTATTCTCTGCTGCAGCTGGCTTGCTTGCTGCTTGTGCTCGTCTCTCTCGATTTCAGTTTTCTTCAACTCTCCGAACAACTCGTCAAACTTTCTTTGACTTTCACTAACCGCTTCGAGTTTTGAAGAATTCTCTGTTCTGACCGAGTTCAAGGCTGCTTCCGTTTGATTGAGCTTTTGTTGTAAGCTTCGTAAATGCTGTTGAGCTTCATCTAATTCACCTGGATGCATAAATTTTAATGCGATTAGCAACCTCAAGGTAAGGGTTGTGAAAGTGAGTTATAAAATTGGAAACACAACTAAATACAAAGTCGTAAGTGCTCACCTGCTTTTGATTTTAGTGATTCATTTGCCTTGGCTAGGGACGATTGGTATTCAGTTTTCTCTCCCACAAGAATGTTTACTGTTTGAGCGTGCACACGCAGCTGCTCCTCCAGTTCTTTCACTTTGCTTGACCATCTGCTCTCCACATCTTGGACGGCACTTTGAAGTTCATGATCCTTATTTGAATTTGCTGAGAGAGATAAACTTTGCTGAGGAAAAAAGTAAAAATGAAATTCATGGAGTCGACAATAAGCAAGTACCAAAAGTGAGTTAATTTATCACATTTTAATACATCAAAAACTGTATTTTTTTCTGTGATGTAGATAGTTAAATGTGAATTATTAACATTCGAACTGATATTGCAGAAAAATGTTTCAATTGTATACCAGCTGATATTGTAGAGAAGCTATAGTATTGTCCCTCTCTGCTATTTGCGACCTCAGCGTTATCTCATTACTAGCATCTGTAATTTCCAATAGCATAAAATTACGTTTCAGCAAAATAAAAATTTTGTTTGACAAACCATAGCTATTAGTTGAAAACTTCCTTTGAAGCTCTGGATGTTTTTCCTCGGAAATAATGCTGACAGTAGCCGCAGCTCCATTATAGTAGTAAGGCATCGAGTCAGCGGTTTGATGCTCATGAGAGTAGACAGGATCACCTCCGAAGGAATTAGTAACGTTATTTATTTGGCCTGATTCTCCATCTCCGGAGGGTGACTGGTAGTTGTACTCGGACGAGTAATTGTAGGAGACAGGTGGGAAGTGAGGTTGTGAATCGAAAGATATCGATTCAAACTGCTGCTGTCCTCCAGCTTTCAGATCGACACTGCTTGTTTGTGAAGTTACACTGGCTGGAGAGGAAACGTCATAATCTCTGTCTTTCGGAGATGACGTTGGGCTCTGTCTGTTCCTCTGCTGAAATTCTTTCAACTGAAACAATATTAAAATATGCTATTATTTTTTAATACACGAATTTAGTATTTTATGTAATGTATGTATAAAAAACATAATTAAATTAAAACTAAAAAAATAAATCATATAATAAACCGAGGGTGCACATAGAGCACCATTACATAAACTAAGTATGCCTATAAGAATGATAAACGTATAATATAAATGTAATTTAATTAATCTCCTCTAAATCAAATTGATTGTTTTATTAGGACAGATTATTGAGGTTACGCCCATGTTTTGGTCTCCTACGTGTCAAAAACAACTTTCAATTGCTTGCCGATTCAAATTTACGCAAGTTATTTCAAAAATATCTAAACCTATTAATTTTTTAAATTTTATTCTTACTGTAAAATATTTATATTTCTAGAATAAATTATTAAATATGATTATTTTACCTTTTTTCTGGCCGCAGCAAGTTTCTCTGCTTTGTTTGCATCGGCCATGTTTGCAATTTTACTTCAAAATCATATGGGCACAATATTGCCAACAAAAAACATCGAAGACATAAATGCTTTTAATCTTGCTCTATTTTTCCTTAAATTTGAGTTAAAATTTTATGAATTGAAATCTTTTAAAATTTTTATAAAATAATTGAAATAATACTAACAGACGTAAGCTTCTATTTAAAGGCTCCCGAAAATTGTAAGATAATATTAAAGTTGGCAAAATTGCTTTACTCTATTTTGGCGCCGTGTAAAACAATAACAGGTATGCATGTAAAATTATTTTCTGTTTGCTAAATTTTCAATGGATTCGGGATACGGTTGCAAAAAATGTACCTTGTTCAAGAAACTTTATAAAAAATATTTCTTCCACATTAATTAGTGACATTTAAGAGACTGCAAAACTTCTAAGTTTGTTATTTCTTCTGTTAAAAACAAAAGGTTCTCAGGAAGACTGCAGAAGTCCATGAGTCAACGCGAGACAATGCTTCAACATCAATTTCAAGAATTAGTAGGCAGTAAGTTTAACATCGTTGCATTTTTAGACCTAAAATAAATCAATAATTTTTTTATAATGAATGTATGGAGTAAATTTAATAATATTTTTTATATAACAGCAGTAGAAAATCTGAGAATGAGACGGCAAAGTTTGCAACAAGTCATTTCGGCTGAGGAGGAAAAAAGGACGAGACTAATGGATGAAATAAAGAAGGCAACTCAAGAGGCAGAAGTGTGTGACAACAGGATAAAGTCCCTTGTTGCTGCTAGAGACAAGTTAGACACGACTATTACCCAGACAGAAACTGCTTTTGAAAAGGTTGAACTAAATTTCTCATCCTTAATTTTTGTTCTCATTAATTTTGTTTTAGATTCTTGAAAATACTGAACTTCTTTTGGCCATGACAAAGAAAACTGGCGGAGAAATAGATGAAATTGTGTAAAAAAAAGGTTTTACATTTGACGGACTTCTCAATATCAGACAAACTCAAGAAGTGTAACAACAATGTTAAAATTCTCATGGTGAAAATAATTATTTTTTACATAAATTATTTTTTTGTTTGATAATACTTTTATTGGATCTGTAAAGGTTTTCCGAGTTTACAATATATGCATTTTCTTCTTTCATAAACTAATCCTTCTGAAGCACAAAGCATATTATTATACAGACAGGGTTCCGTATTATTTAGATCATTATTCATTAGCATGACAACAGTCTTAATTAACAAGCTGCTCAAAATAACAATGAACTACCAGCTTCTAAGTAATCCATATTGTCAATAATATCATATAGAATGAGATAAGGTGGATTTGATTATTAAGCATTACCAGCCTCACGCTGGATTTCCCAAAAGCGCTTCAGCTCTTCAGGATCAGAAAAATCATGACTGGCTATTAAGTATCTGTAATCAATGGCACCGTCGTACCAAAGTCTGTTCAACCGGAAGTCTCGGCAATGGTATGGTTCCACGCCAGACTTTTTGGCAACTAGAGCTAGGTAAATATCATCAAAGCGGAAGTGTTTAGTAAACAATGAGCCTAGAAAGAGAGTGTCGAGAGTCGCTCGGGACACAACATAGGCACCAGCGGTGATGTACGGAGGCCACAGGTGGAACGGGTACTCTTCCAAGGAGACGTACCACTTGCTGGACTGGTGCCGGAATGGAGCTACGTGCCGCAACTCGCCAGCATACAGCTGTACTTCGTCGGGAAGTTCAAAATCAAGCACCTAAAATTTGAAAGTTCAATAAAATTCGCAAAAAATTTGCATATTTCTTCCTTACCTGCTCAAGTTTTCTGGCAGGCTTAACCTCCATTCCAGCAGGATCCTCCAAGTATTGGGGGTACCGTGTGGGGTGCCTCAGGAATCTTAATACGTTCTTGGTGGACACATACATGTCGTCGTCACTGAAGAAGTAGAACTTTGCCTTCGGGCAGAACCTGCGCGCCCACTTGTAGCCCATCATCGTCTTGATGGTGTTGTTGTAGTAGGCGTCCAAAAAGTCTGCCTGCACAATGTCACCAAACTGCTTGTTCTCCTTGTCAACGCGCACCTGCGAGTCCGGTTCGGAGGGGCGTGTGCCCAGCAGGAAGATCGTTCTGATCGGCACGTCCGAGAAGCGGCCTTCGAAGCCCCAAGACTGTCGAATGGCCTGGCGCCGCTCGAAGTGATCCATGCTGGACTTGACCAGGTAGACTAGGCGCAGCTCTGCGAAGGTGCCTCCGGTGAGGCATTTGGAGTGGGCGTCCGTGACAAATGAGTAGTTGTAAACGTTGATCGGAGGTCGGTCGGACAGGTCGCCGTTTCGCAGCTGGTCGATGTACACCGTGATGTCCTCATTCAGCGGGTACTCGAATTGTGTGAAGTAGTCCTTTTCCAGCAGGTGGGTGAAAATACCAAAGTAATAGAGGACGTAGAGCAGGACAGAAATCAGGGCTGCGTAGAGGAGCCGCAGCCGGGGCGGCGTCCGCAAAGTGAACAGGCGTGAGGTCATTCTGAGAGCCGGCTGCACTTTTCGCATAATCCTCTTACTGTTCATTTGTGTTGACCATCGCACTGCTTATCAGTCTCTGAAATGAAAAATAAATATAATATTTATAAGTATGATGTAGGACGTGGAAATGTAGCGTTTTTCCTTTTTCCTCCTCTATGAAAGTAGGAAAAAGGTGGGGAAAATCGTTGTATGTTTATTTCAGTTGCAGTTTGTTGATAAGCAACAAGTCATTGCTTTATCAATTTCATTATTGGGTAAGTATAATATAAAAATTATTTTACTACAAAGTACTTTTAATATGCGAGTGTCAATCAATTACTAATCATAAACTTGTATAAGCGAGGAAAGGGCAAAGCGGCAAAGGCAAAATTAAAAGAATTTTCAATTTTGAAGCCGGGGAAAGGGACATTAAAAGAAAATTAGCTGAAAATTGCACTATTATAAAAATTATTTCTGGTGACTTACGGGATCATATCATGGACAGTAAAATTGTTAACCTTCTCTCAAATATATGCGTCAAAGCAGTATTAACTTCCTTCTTAGCATCCCCTAAAAATTCTACAATTTTGGTAATTTAAAAAAAAAAATACTCAAAAGAAAGTCACGAATTGTTTTTAGTTCTTTCTTCAAATTAATAATGGCGCAATATTATTATTTTTTTTTAGAAAAAAAACTTAAATATTTACCTACTTTTCCCCGACTATGTATGTAACAAAAAAATCGAAGGGAAAGACGAAAGACGCTGATAAAATTTTAACGCAGCACTCAAAATTGTTTGCCAAAGCAGTCAGACCATTTTAATTTTGTGGAGGTGTGTATACCGGCTACAGCTAAAGCCGAGGCCATGCATGCCTGCCCAAGGCTACAACAATAAGCACTGTATTTTATAAACAGTCCCGTCCCCACCCAAACGCTTGAGCAGCTGGAGGCATGAAAGCTTTTTTTAGTTTCCAAGACAGCCGGCTCGGAGCAACAAGTATATCTCCAATTTCAGTTTGCAGAAACTTTTTAAGTTTTCAGTATTCATGGTTAGTAATAATACCAAAACATGCCGTTTTAAATAATCTATTCAGATTTTAACTTCTCCATTCAGTTCAAAATGCAGGTTGTGCGCTTCAACAAGCAAAACGTCGCTTTGATTTGTGCACTGGCGTCCGTTCTCTACTTTTTGCTCCACGCCAAGACTCAGCGCATCGAGATGGAGTACGAAATTAATGAGAAGGCGATATTAGTGTGGGAGCATGTGGCCGACTTCAATAATATGAAGGCTCTCAACCCTACAATGTAAGCACAAAAAAAAATTAATCATTGTTATACACTGACGATAAAAATATCAACATCTGGCAGATTGGAATTCAACATTATGGACGACAAGGGCAACTACAAAAACTGGCAGTACACTGTCGAGTATACCGAGAATTTGACCAGTTTTCCTTCGATAAAGAACAAAGCTGTCGGACACTACACCGTTCGCCCAGACGGAAGCGATTTTGTCATTGAATCGACTCATAAAACGTGCTTTTTTAACGCCTATTGCCGTGAGTGTAGATTCGTATCAAGATTATATATTGTTCTAATAAATTTGATTTTAGTCTCGTCTGCCTCTGAGTTTCGGTTCAGCATGAAAGGGGGCACGAAAACAACTTGCAAGGAAACAATCGATTTCCAATGTCCTTATTTGCTGACGAAAATTTGCACATCAGAGGCCATGCATCAGAGGGCAATGATCAAAAATAATTTGATTAAATTCTTCGACAACAATCCCCAGATATAAATCATGCAGCTTTTGACTGAAATTAAGTGCCAAAGGACAAGAATCTCTATTAATTTAAATTTCAAATGTATTTTCTAAAATTATAAAATAAATTTCTTCTAATAAAATATGTCTTGTAAATTCGATTTTCATCTTTATCAGAGATTTAGAGAGCTCTTCTCAAGGGATAATTTGAAAGTCACTGAATGCATAATTAATGGGATTCATGAATTTGCCTCAGATCAGTCTGTGGTACACATTTCATTTGTGATGCGTGGGTGACAGGAAGTGAGCGAGAAGCAACATCCTTTGATGCAGCATCATCACTCGCAGTTCTCATCGCATATCAGAAAAACGGACTGAAAAGGCTGATTGGAATTATTAAAATATGCAATTAAAATTTTCTTTCTCGCTGCTTACTTTCTTTGTCTTGGTAACTCTAGTCCAAGCAAAAACTACCCCAGTGAGTAAAAATTTGCAAAAATATTCTAGTTTCAATAAAATGATATTTTTACTCATTAGAACGCAAAACGCTCAGGTTCTCAGTCAAATCAAAGCCCATGCGACCCTTATTGGTACTCGATGGACAACCCTGCAGTGACTGATTGTAGAGATATTATCAGGGTGATGGGTCGCATGGCAGCTGACACGTCGCTTGTGCTTCTCACTGAAAAGACTAAACTTTCATCAACAGATGCACCCGTTGGTAATTATTGAGCACAATTTTGTTGTTAAATACATTTTTTGGTAAAATTTAATAATAATAAAATTAGAAATGATCCTTGGACTTGACCAGGTAATTTTGAATTTAAATTAAGGTCCTTGAAATAAACTGAAAAAAAATAGAAATTTGCTGAATGCGTGCTGCAAACTGATGATAAAGTAATTATCACAAAGCTCGAAATTCTTATTCATTAAAAATATTTTGTAAATCAGGTTCTTCCCATGGACGAAATTTTCCTGCAAGAAAAGGAGCGCGTTTATGAGAACAACAAATTCTTGACGGATATTGTAAATTTGTGCACTCAGACTGTGCAAAGTAAAGTTTGTTTTTTTAAGGGAAAAAATTAAGGCATCAACTTGTTAAATTTTAGCTGTTTGCCCGTTCAATCCAGTTTTCAACGATGATGACTTGAGTAAAATCAACTGCATTCCACATCCCCTGGAGCTGCTCAAATGCATTAGACAAGTCGGGATACCAGTAATATTGTTTTGCATCTCTAAGCCAGATTGATGCAATTAATTTTGTGCCAGGAATGCAATGTGAAAAGGACAAAGCAGGAGGAAATCAAGATGAAGGAGCCAAGATCGTGGGACTCGAAAATAAAACAAGCTGCTTCGAAGAACAAACCAAAGAAAGTTGACAGAATGTGAATAAATTTGTAAAGTGAACCGACCTCTCTTATTGAAGTGTTGAGTGGAGAATACTCTTCAATCGAAGCACCAAATTCGGGCAGTCGGAAGTCAGTTCCAGTTCCTCGAAGCAAACTCGTCCTCTGCCAGACATTGACAGAGAGACTTCTTTTTCTTTTTTCTCAGAAAGCCAGACAGAATCAAATAAGCACGAAAGGCTAGCGACAGGAAAACTCTGCACGTCTGTGTTGAGAGTGACAATCAACTTAGGGTAAACCTAAAAATAGGATAAAAAAAACATGAAAAAACATCAATCTTTTAACTTTCTGAAAAATATTAACGGTGGTAGATGAATAGACGAATGAATAAAATTTCTACTTGTGCTACCTGGGAAGGAATGTACGGTGTAGAACCAACGAGTGCAGCTACAAGTTTTGCAATTTGCTCTACGGAAGCTCCAAAATCTTCAATATTCTCTGCAATAATCGTGAAAGGTCCTTTGGATAATTTTCTGAACAGGGAGAAGTCGAAAAGGATGGCTCCAAGTTCACTCAAATTTTGTGGATATCTTAAAACAAAATTAATTTTTCATGTTGATCGAAGAAGGGTTGGGAATCTTTTCATGAAATTGATTAGTTTTATATTTATATTTCGATTTTGAGACAAGCTAGTGTGACAGACAGAAATTTATCTTTACCTTAGCGAGATATTTGTGTAGTCATCTGGATCCCTCGACCTCCCGTGGAAGGGCTCTGGCAAAAAGTCGCACGATTTGGTGATGATCAGCACCGAGTAGTTTTGAGACGCAAGAAACTCGGCAATCTGTGCGTTAATCACGATCAGTTTTATGTATTTTTACAAATTTAATGAGAAAAGCTTTGATCAATCACTCACCGTAATTGCGAAAATTCTTTTTTCCACATCCTTACTCCCGGCGATGAGGACCGATTTGTTGGACATCAACAAGGGCGGATAAAAATCTAGACGAACAAAATTAATTATGCGTTTATGAACTAACCAGGCCTTGATAAAAAGCAATTAACACTTACCCGAGCATTTGGGCGAATGGGGAAAGAAATCTCAGGGTGGGATTTGCGACTGCGATCTGCTAAAATTAGATTATTTTAACCAAAGTTCCCAAACCAAAACACCCGCATGACAGCCGGCGGCAGACGCAGTGCGCAGTCGGTGGCGCCACGGCAAAACAAGAGGCAGACTTTGGAAACTAAATTGCAGTGAAAGTAGTGAAACCGCAACTCCAAGAAGTCCATCAAAATTTGAGATGCGGAAAAAATTTCGAAGAAAAATTAAACTAATGACGGAGCTTCCAGTGAAGTGAAGTTGCAGGTAAGTGAACTTATGCGTCGGGAAATAAATTAAAAGCTTTTCTATTTTACCAATTCTGTCTGACAAAAAATATAACATATTGTCATAAATAACACTGCAATTATCCAATAATAAAACGATAAAAACCTTAATATACCGATAAATTTTATAAAGGTCCACTAAAATGAAATCAATTATAATGATAAAAATCACACACAAATCCGGCAGAAAAAAAATCAAAATTTTTATTAGGCAAAATATTTTATTTCGCTGAAGAAAATTTTGTTTTTTTATCAATAAATAAAATGTTTGTTCTTCATTAAAAAATTAAAATATTTTTTTTTTAAATCATATTTTATAAATTAGTGATAAAAAACGTATGTATCTTGTAGAATGTACAGTGCAGTTTTATTTCAAATTTCAAATTTTTCAAATGAAATGTCAAATAGAAAACTATATAATTATGAATGATTAATTCAACGCTTACAGAATGATTATTACCCTTTTTTTAAATAAAATTCAAGAATAAAAAGAACTCGTTCTCCGGTGATTCTTATGGTTAGAACTGGCCAAAATCTACAATTTTTTTTCTTTTTGGGTCGTCAGGGTCTTGTCGGTCTGTGCCTTTTTTGAGCTTGAGAGGAAGACAAGCTCCAATCCACTCCAATCTTATAAATATTAGGGTGTGGTATTATTTACTTAATTATTTTATCTTGATTGACATATCAATTTGACATGAGATTTTTTCGGCCGATACGTTAACAAGTCGTATAATCTTTTGCGATCTCGACATGCAACACCAAAAGTGGTACACAAGGGGGTTTGGGGTGCATATACACAGTGGGTGAATATTGTGAATAATATCATATACATATCATGGGAGAGTTTATAAATTAATGGTGTATAATCCACAGTTCAGTAACACACAAGTTATTTTATCTATTTTGTCTTTAAATTGTGTCTGTATTTCTAAATTATATTTTCTATTTTTTTTTTATTAATTATTTATTTAATTAATAACATGTGGCACAAGTGGAGTGTCCACACGCATTAAAATTTAGGATTACTGACGGTGCTTATTAAAATTAAAAAATAAATAAATAGTCGGACCGTCAATGGGATTTATTTTATTGCGAAGTTTTACTACTTTCCCTTAGCGCTCTCGCATATTCAGCAAAGTATAATATATAAAACTGTATTAGTGGATTTCAAAACGTGTCATAATGTAAAATGCGTATTAAGGTAAAGGTGGTAATAGGGCGTGGTAATAATTATTCACAGTATTATGGTTTTGAAACTTGATATGAGCTCATGAAAACTGATTATTTTTATATTATTACTCATTATTCTAAAAATTAATTATTTAAATGATTCTAACGCATTTTTTTCCGATAAAATATATAAACTTGGAAAATTAAATCGGTCTTAACCTTGTTGAAAAAAAAACTTGCTCCCAAAAGGCGACCTATGCAGCTCATTTTGAGCATGCTAACTAATGAGTATTAGAAAGTAAAAAGAAAAACAAGATTTTAAATTGCAAAAATTTGTTAAGCTTCTCTGTCATACTGTTTTTTCCTCAGAAATTTCCTAAGGTATAAATAAGCCCAAAGATTTGAATGGCAAATTTGCTATAAGCTTGGGCGCCGCGCCGTTTCAATTTTTCACAAAATCCATCACTCGAGGGTTATAAATCACAGCATAAAAATTTTAAATGGTCTTCAATTAATTAATTTTTTTTCTCCAATTAAGTCGGAAAAATCAATTGTGAAAAATTGGTTGGGAGAAAAGTAGGCCACACAGTGCTAAAGAAAAACTTACTGAAACTCATCGCGAGTATTTACCAAGAGCGCGATAAATACCCGACTACTCGCCGCACTGCAACCTAACTTCAGGAAAAAAGAGTTCAAATTCGTTTGACTTGCTCTTTGCACAATCAGAATTTCATAATTATTTACTGAGGCTTAAATTTAAAAAGTGATAAGCTATTGAAATTGAAACGTATCAAATAAAATTCAAAATTCCCCGGAAAATATTAGGATCGTGTCAATTTGGTTTAAACACTGGATTTTCTAAGTTGGAATACTTGAAATATATAAAATACAATATGAAATTCAGCAAAATTTATTATTAGGTGGCACGTGAGCGTAGCTCCGCTTTACCGTACTGATCAATTTTGAAGAAAAATGAATACCTGTTTGAAAAGCAAAGAATAATTTTTGCAAAACATTTTTTATTCTCCTAAATTAAAGTATTTTTTAATGATGCGAAAAACTGTCCCTTTTTTATAATTGCATGACCACCTAACAATGATTGCATCTGGCGTTTGAAAACCTTTATGTGTATAATTAGATTTGACCCAAATTGACTCTGCCTGCAGGAATACAAAAAAACAGTGCGCCGTGTTGTCACAAAAAGTATACTTAGCATTTCGTTTCCTATGTGTTAATTTATAAAGATACATTTCAAATATTGGTGGGTGACATAATTTTTTAAATGTCTAACATTAAACAATGAGGAAACAATTTTTGCTATGAGTGAGTGACATTGCATCACTAGGCTTGAATTTATGCGGCTGGCTTATTTGCACTTTCTTTGATTCTTTGATTCTTTCACCTCTCCTGATATTGAGAGTTTTTCTAATTTGCATTGCACACCTGTGAATGGTCCTCTTAAAAAATCACTAATATTTCCTGAGTTGCACAACAAGAAAAAACAAAGGGCCAAGTTAAATGCATTTTTGACGAGATCAATAATGATTTTGACCTAATTATGTGTAAAAACTACTGGATGGCCGCGCGCGGCGGATAATGGTTGTGGAGAAAGAAAGTTTAAGATCTTTGCTGGCTGCATAACTTGTGAGATGCATCCATACATTATGCGCTATAGTGTTGTCTATTCTTTTTTTCTCACTATATATTGATGCACAATTATTGCCAAATGATAAAAAAAAATCATAGATTGTTTTTGATTTTACAACATCTTTGTAGCCTGTTAAACTACAGTGTTTTGGTCAAAAATTTAATAAAATAAATTTAATTTGTTTTTATTTATAAAATATTTAAAGCATTTATGTACTCTATTTATTTTTTACATTCATTGATTCTTTGAGTAATTAAGTTATCTTTTATTTATAACAAAATAATATTTTTGTAACTTATTATTTGAAAATACATGGAATGTTTGGTTTATAATAAAAAGTTTAGGATGGGAAATTTTGAATGTTGAAATTGAATAATTTTTTCTATTTCCGCTTCATTCTTGTTTGTAATTACAAGTACAAATTCATGATGAGAAAATGTATTTTTTTTTTTAATGTTTGCAGTTGTTAAATTGGCCAGTTTTTTTTATGTAATTTTATATAATTTACTCATCTTTTGTTATGATTTTGCTGGAATTTTATATTGTGTTCTAGTTTTTAATAGAATGCTCAACTTGCTTCATAATTTATGCAATGTTTTTTTTTTTTATCAAAACAGAATATTAATGTATGTAGTTTTTTTAGGTGATGACTTTTTTTACATATTATTTGTTTGGAGAAACCGCATAAATGGCTCTTATTTGTAGAGGAAGTTTAGCGGGATATTAGCAATTTCGGGTCCCAAAATATGTGAAAGTAACTCTTAATATATACACAGTAGTATTACTCAGTCTTACTCTACAAAAAATTGTCCGTAGATTATTATTATTTATTTATTCCTTCTTCCAATTATAAATACCCTGATGAATACAAGATGGGCACTAAAAGCTTGAATTGTTGACCCGCAAATTAGATTCAGAGGTGCATTCCTTAAAAATGGTGTGAGGCTCAGAAATTTCCTAGAAAAGTAGAGAAAAATTTGCGATGTAGTGTTGTTTACCACAACGGTGCTTGTGGTTTTCAATCGAAATTTTGCCTTAGCTTCCGCATTTGTGATTGTCATAATAGAATTTGATCAATCAAGGGAGGCGATCCAAAAATTGCACAATTATATAGAAAATTTCGCATTATTAATTCTGATCACTCTCTATTTCTGGCGCATTAATTAGCCGTATCCAAAAATAGAAAATTGCTATGTTCGTAGATGCGTTGCTTTTACGGGAAATTGATTCCATCATCGGGAATTTTGGGCGGGGATAATCATAATCACATGTTTTGTTTTCACAAAAAGTGGGATAGTGCGTGCATAACCGCACTCCTTCAGGTCCTAAATGCGTTCAGCACCGTTGCATCTGCTGTCTGTTTTCTTTCTTGAATTGAAAATGTTTTATATAATTACTTCCACCACCATCACCGCAGCTTTGGAAATCTATTTGTAAGTGTGCTGCGATTATTTCCTTTAAATTTTTTTACCTTTGGCGCGGCAATCATCATAGTCCTGATGTTACGTTCGAGAGAGTCGCCAAATACATTATGATTGCACACGCGTCTATAATTATGATCACACCAAAAGAAAACTAAAATTAGCCTTTATCTCAAAATGCCGATTTTACTTGTGAAAGTTTGCTATGTTAGAAGAATAGAGTGTGCATTCTTTTAGAATAAAAATTGCACAAAATATTAATGCATCGATTGCTATAGATGCACCTTTGACTCAATTTGGTATGCCATTAATTAAAATTAGCTCTTTGATCGTATGTAATAAATTCATGTGGAGAATATCATATTATATTTGATTGATCCGTTTTCAACAAAAAATTTATAACTAAAATAAAATTATTATTTTCAAGAAAAGTGTGGAATACAAGCCTAGGCTGAGAGCTTATTTATGAGTCTGTAAAATATTGACACACAATAAAACAATTAAAACTCAGGTTGGTCTGTTTACTTTTTAGAAGTTTATGAAGACATTAAGTTTTGCTAAAAGTGCTAGAACCTTCGAAAAATTAATTTCGATTGTGGTAGGGAACGAATAGCCCAATAAATTTTCAAACAATTTAATTATCGGGAACATATTATTGAGCAGCGCGTAAAATAATTTGCGAAATTATAACAATCCTTTTTGTGAATTGAGTTTAAAAAAAAATTGAAAATTAATGCGCTAATTAGTTTTTGATTGCTAAAAAATTAACTTCAAAAGTTTAATGTATCAACAAAAAAAATCTGAAAATAATCAGATTTATTTGGTGTCGTTAGTATTGTTCAACCTTTTACAATTTACTGCATTGGCTCAAAGTTTTTTTTTACCCCCAGCGCAAAACTTTCATGTTGAACTTTTAATCTAGCTCAACTTTTTTATTGTTGAAAATTATTTATGATTCTGCACGGTTCTGATGAATTTAAAAATTTTCTCTTCAATTACAAATAATTTCTATCAATAAGAATGTGTACCTTATCATGACCAAATAGGATATTATTTCTTGATAAAATAGGACCTTGCAAAGTTTTCATTGTAAGCTAACAAGTCATTGGGCAGGGCGGCAGATAACTCTTACAATTAGTAACACCTTAAATTACAAGTTTCTTTCCTCAATGCTTGATGCATTTTATAGCCTTAATTAAATTTCTTAAAAAATTTACCGGGATAAAGAGCAAAAACCAATGTTCATTTAGAAAGTAAAATTTGATCCCTGATAGAGATTCATAATTGGGCAATTAAATTTCAACGCATTTATTTTTGGGCACCAGGACGTTTATTAAAAAAGAATCAAGTACAATTATTTTCATATTCTCAACTCATACATACCAGTTGTTGTATATAATTTTTTAAACGTCTAGTTTTCGTTTCCGTCCTACGGCTAAGGAGAGCACAGAACATTCTAGTCTCCTTACTTTGGCAATTAAAAAAGCTTTAAACACCAAAAAAATGTTATTGCGAAAAATTCCTACCACCGTGTTTTCAGCACTTTTTATTTTACAGTATTTAGTATAGGTTAGACTGCTTCTGGTGTGCAACTCATAGTAAATAATTGTTTTATAAAAATAAATCTTATTGGTATTCAGGCACATAATAATATAAACTTAATTAATACGATTCTAAAGACTTAGAAATAAAATTAATTTTTTTTAAACAATTTTATTTGAACCGCGCTCTTTATACTTTATATTAATATATCGACATATAAAAAATTGCGATAAATCAAATCTGAACGTGTGATCGTCGCCTCCTCGAAGCATTAGTTTGCATGTCTGACTGAAGTACAGCGCTTTTGAGATGCAACAGAGAGGTTTGCATCACCAAAAAGTAAACTGGGCAAATGTGATTTGTGTTGCGACAGTGCAGCGCTCACGGCGTCGACCTGCACACTCTAAAAAATGAGATTCGAGGAAATGGAGAGGGATTTTCGCGGGCCGAATAAATGTGGTCCATGGCGCGGCCGCGCGCACAGACACGATGGTGCTACAGTCCTGGACGGAGGGTCGCACGGAGACACTAGTGAGGGGTCTTCGGTTGCACGACTTGGGCCTCGACCAGGCGTTTTTAAACGTTACTAACACTCTAAACGAGCAAGTTTTCCTCTACACCGTCAAAGATGCGTGCTATAAGGTAAAGTGACATTTTTAATTTTATTACGTATTTTATGAATTGAATTAAATTAATTCAAGCCAATTAATGAAAATTAGATTTAAGCATATTAAATTGTCAATCTTTTCATTTTCCCTTGAGGAAGAACTAGAATAAAACCTCATTTTTAGAAGAAGAAAAAATTCCATAAATGAAATAGCGCCTTATAATTTGCCCACACTCATTGTCAAATTTAATTCAATTTTTTTTCTTCTGTTCATTAATGCGTATTTACTTTGGAGTATTTCTTTGAATTTCAAAATTTTTAAAGAACGAAACATTCAATAATAATGGTGTTTGAATTTAAAATCGGCCTCTCTCTATCGTTTTTTGTTTCTTAAAAAATTAAAATAGAAAATAAAACAGACGAGGATATTATTATTGTCTACAAAAATTTAACAACTCTAAAAACCCTCAAAGAAAAGCCGATTTTATATTTACAAAAAAAAAATTCAAATTTGAATTGTCTACAAAATTAAATAATATTTTGATTTTGAGATCTTAACTTGTTAAAAGTGCTTTTAATTTAGTTCTTTTTCTAATTTTCCCAGATGGACAAAATTTCAATGCATAATTTTTCCCTATATTCTTTAGTGTCCATACTCATTCACGGCCGCGCTTCCTGCCAAAAATTCTACTATCCTGAAAGTCAATTCAGTTTACTCAATCAAATCGCGCATCTACCGCGAGAACCTTGGACAATATGTGTCCGCCAGCAACCGATCGTCTCTCCAGTGTGGTGTGGAAACCCCTCTGCAGATGGGTGAATTTGGTATTTATGACCTAGTCGTCAATGAGAATGGAGAGTGCACCACGGACACTTACTACGAGCCTGTCAACATTTACATGTGTAGGTTTAGTAAATGCAAAATAAACTACATTATTATTTGCTTTAATCAAAACGCACCTTAAAATTATTTACTTTTTAAAATATTTAACCCCATTCTCGTTAAATATCAAGATATTGATATTGAACTTTCATTTTTTCATTTATTATTTATCGCACTTCTGCTTTTCTCTTTGCTTCATAAAAAACAAATATTACTTTAAAATATTTCTAAAATTAAAACTTTTATTTTTGCACAGCTGCGCTTTGTGTGACCATACTCACAGTCTTCCTGATTTCCCTGTACTACTTTGTACATGGCATCTCACAAAATTGGGCAAGTCGAAATAAAGAAGGCGATGATTTACCTGATCAAACCAACAATAATAACCCCCTGGTAGCAAAATTGAAGAAAAAAGAGGCACTCCTTACCAAAAAGCAGAGGCTTAAATCTCTTGACGCGTTCCGCGGGTTAGTGTTAATGAGAAATTAATTTAAAGCTGAATATTGACCATCGCTACTAAATTAAAAGTAATTTTATTTTTAATTAATTTTATCTTTGACAGTCTAAGCGTGATCCCTTTAATTTTTTACCTGCACCATGGCGGCGGTTACGCAGTGCTCGAGCACGCCAGTTGGGATGGTTTGCCGATTGCGGACTGGCCCTTCCCGTGGTTCTTGTGGATCATGGGGGTTTGTGTGCCGATGGGCATCAACAGCAACATGGAGCGCCAGCTTAGCAGGGGAACCATGATGTTGCATATTTTGAGGGTAATTTTTTTTTAAATTAAAAATTATTTTGTAAAAAAGTAATGTACTCATTTATATAAATTTTTATTATTTTTTAAAACTAAAACTGAATAAATTTTTGTTTCAGAGATCTACCGTTCTCTTTGCTCTGGGCATTAGCACCAATTGCATTGATTACGGATTAGCATATGAGACATTCCGATTTTTCAATGCTCTTCAACGTTTTGGCATAATGTGTCTGATCAATGCAAGTTTGTGCGCGCTCCTCTGGCCGCGCGACGTCTCAAAAATCAAAGGCAAATTTGCTGATCTGCGAGTTATGTGGCCTCAATGGGTGGTTCACACAATTGTGCACATAATCACCCTCGGTCTGGTGTTCCATCTTCCTGTCCCTGGATGTCCGACGTAAATAATTTATTATTTATAATGTTCAAAAATTTTATAATTTAAATTGCAATTTAATCGTAAAATAATGGCTATTTTTTTCAGGGGCTACTTGGGCCCAGGAGGCTTAAGCGAAGACAGAATGTATCAAAATTGCACTGGGGGAACTTTTGGATATGTGAACAAGTTAGTTATGAGCGAGTCTAATTTGGAGCAGAACCCAACCAGTAAGGCTGTATATGAGGTTAATGCATTTGACCCCGAAGGCGTTTTTAGTGAGTCATTTAATTATATTTTATAACTATTGTATAAGTTGTAAAAAAAATCGATTTAAAATTTACTGGAATATTTATTTGTAATAGGTAATTTGCCATCTCTACTCACTATCATCCTGGGTATTCAAGCCGGAGCGATTTTGGTCGTTTACAATGACTGGAAGGCAAGAGTAAGCCGTTTGACAATCTGGGGAACTTCATGTGTATTGATTGCTATCATCCTCCATTTGTCCGGCGCCATCCCAATTAATAAGCAACTTTGGTAATTTATACTTCAGAATTAAGAGTATGAAACTAAATTACTAAATTTTCTGCCATAGGAGCACATCTTTTGCACTCATCACTGGTGGAGGCGCATTCTTCGGACTGGCACTCTTCTACTTCCTGATAGACGTCAAAAAGTGGTGGACCGGATACCCATTCGTGGAGCCTGGCGTCAACTGCCTCTTTTTGTATGTTGCAAGCAAACTGACGGCTCACCTGTGGCCTTTCCACTGGAGCATTGGACCCATGGACACGCACTTCATTCTTCTACTAGATACAATGTGGGCTTGCTCGATCTGGGTCCTGATCGCAAGGTGGCTTTTCCGGCGTAATATCATTATTACTGTCTAAATAACGGTTTTGTTCCGATGTGTTTTAATTTGTGTATATATGTGAATAGCTTTTAACCCTTGTTGTTGATTGATTGTGAATCAAAGTTATAAAATGTGTGCTAATAAATTGTGCGTACAAATTAATTTCAGCCATGTGCTTTGAATTCAAATCAAATTAGAATATTTATTATAGAAAATTATTCCAGGATCTTATTATTTAAAAGCTCTTTTGGCGTTGCCTCAGCCTATGTATGCATAATATAATAAGTCATCATTTGTCATATTAAGTGCTTTCAATAAAAAAACATCTTGTTTTACAGTCAAGTTACACAATCAAAATTGTTTTGTACATGAAATTAGTAACTAATACGTTCATAAGAATTCCAAATTAAATTAATTAATGATTTTGCTTGCTTGCTAAGTGAAAGTAAATTAAACATCAGGCATGAATTTCAATTTCATATATTAGATTAAAATATAGGGTGAAATCGGGAAAGGATGAGGTGTAATTGGCAGTGAAAAGTTACCATTTTGATTTTCACATATGTTGTTGGGGTTGTTGAAAGGTAACTTCTCCTAAATTTTCAGCTTAAAATATGGTGCGCTTTTCCGGGAAATCGGATTTTTCCAAAAACAGAAAATATTGAATATCTTTGCTAAAAATGAGAATATATGAATGCTCTTTTCACTACCAGACGTAACTTTTCACGCCCGACAACTTTGCTGTTGATTATTTTTGCGTAGGTCAAAGGTCAAGGTCACTAATTAGCAAATTTCACTTTCAAACGCAATTTTCGCAAAGAAGCACACCTTGGATTTTTTTTGTGATATACAAAACAATGTAGCCCTAAGTGTGTAGAACAAAATACTTGATTTTCAGATTGGTAACTTTTTCTGTTTAATTGATATTTTTAATTGAAAATAAAAAACAGTGAAAAATCGCTTTTCCGCAAACGAAATTAATTTTCAAACAGCGATAATTTATTTTCTGCTAGAGATACGCAAAAACATGTAAGTACAAAAAGTTTTTCTAATGACCTAACCTATCGAACCATGTATCGATCATGAAGGTCGAGTCACTTAAGGTCATTGACCTCAGTGACCTGTGACCTTGAAAAACGATATTGCAAAAAATTGGAAACGTTTCAAAACAGGCGCACTCTTTTTCATTATTTAATGAACTAATATTTTGCAAAATCATTTTTCAAGGTCACAGGTCACTGAGGTCAATGACCTTAAGTGACTCGACCTTCATGATCGATACATGGTTCGATAGGTTAGGTCATTAGAAAAACTTTTTGTACTTACATGTTTTTGCGTATCTCTAGCAGAAAATAAATTATCGCTGTTTGAAAATTAATTTCGTTTGCGGAAAAGCGATTTTTCACTGTTTTTTATTTTCAATTAAAAATATCAATTAAACAGAAAAAGTTACCAATCTGAAAATCAAGTATTTTGTTCTACACACTTAGGGCTACATTGTTTTGTATATCACAAAAAAAATCCAAGGTGTGCTTCTTTGCGAAAATTGCGTTTGAAAGTGAAATTTGCTAATTAGTGACCTTGACCTTTGACCTACGCAAAAATAATCAACAGCAAAGTTGTCGGGCGTGAAAAGTTACGTCTGGTAGTGAAAAGAGCATTCATATATTCTCATTTTTAGCAAAGATATTCAATATTTTCTGTTTTTGGAAAAATCCGATTTCCCGGAAAAGCGCACCATATTTTAAGCTGAAAATTTAGGAGAAGCTACCTTTCAACAACCCCAACAACATATGTGAAAATCAAAATGGTAACTTTTCACTGCCAATTACACCTCATCCTTTCCCGATTTCACCCTATAATCAACATTTTTTTAACTAGGAAAGGATACAACAAATATTTCGATGTGGAAAATTCACCATTGTCGGAGGAATTGTAAGAATGCAATATGACACCAAACACAAGTAAAAAATTTAGAAAAAATTTTCTAACGCTAAAAAATTAAAAATGACCGACGAATGTAGAAACAACTGAAGCTAGTACAGCAATCATCATAGGAGTCTTCATCGAGGAACTACTTTTGGCATTCAAGTCTTTACTTGTGACTGGTTGGTGTGACTGCTGTTTGCACGGAATCACTTTTTTCACCACTTTCAAAACACTTTCTACCACATTCGCTGGTGTAGGATCCTTGCATTCTTCCAAAACTTTGACCACGCACTGAGCAGCTTCATCAATTTCACTAAAATTAATGATATTATTTAATCATGTCTATAAACTTGTACTTCTGGAACTTACTCGCACTGTCCTTCGTCAAACAGCACCAATGGCAGGTTGAAATTGGAGAGGTCAGTGAGGTTGGCTTGGGCAAAGGAATTGGCGTACTTTCCAAATGTTTGATTCAAACACTTCTGGATTCCCTCCTTCTTGGATTCGAGGCATTCCGGCCCTCCTTCTGCGATGAACACTGCGAGGAATTGAAATATTTTATCGAACCAAGGCGAATTATTAAATTTCAAGTAATACAAGCAATTCTGTCTCCTTCCTTAAAGCAAGTGAAGTTGAGCAAAGTGCGAGAAACATTTAAAACAATGCCCGACACTTTCTTCTGATCCTCGGCCAGACACCCGTCAATGTTCTCGGTCAACTTTTCAGTGCACTTCATCAAATCTGGCGTTTTTCTGTTAAAAAGTAAATCATAAATACAAAAAATTAAATTTTATTTTAAAACTCTACCTGCAGTATTTTTTGAACACGGCATCCAACTCGCCAGTCGGTTTGGCCTCCTCGATTTCTGCATTGACAGCAGTAACGTTTATCAGAGACTGGACGCAATCGACCATCTCCTGTTGTGCTTTCTGGAAAAAAGTAAAAATTTGCGTTAAAGAGTGAAACATCAATTTCTGCGAACTTTTGTTTTTACCTTTCCGTTTTCAACGGCTTCCTCGCCTCCATTTTTTCTGCACTGATCTTCAAAGGCTTTTTGACCTTGTTCCACTGAAGGAGGACTTGGACCATCGTAGCCCAGCTCGGAAAATTTATTTTGTAGATCGTTAGGATCCAACTCAGCTTGCACAACTGGAAACAAATTTTTTCTGTGAAATCTTCATTATTATTTAGTTTCAGCTATTTGCTTTGTTATTTCTTCTTATTCATTGATAAGATATAGCGTCAGTGTTTGAGCTTTGGATACAAACATGGAATCTGGCCTTTGATTTTTCCAATCAGGAGCGATTTTTATGCAACCGCGGAGTGACATATTCTAGCCAAGTGGTTTTAATTATTCACAATCATCGATCTCCGTGATGCTGAATGATCGTATTGAAAGGAAATGCAAATGACTCGTCGTAATCACGTTGCTCGTGAGTGACTAACTAATAGCCAATTGCTAAATTGCTCGCTCATGAGTTTGTGTAGCAACCGCTGCCGCACGTTGTTATCAGTGCGTAATTAATTCAGCAAATCAATAATGGACCTTGATGGATTGCAGAAAATGCTGAGCTACGCGTCGAAATGGAAAAATTTCAAAATACATAAGTGTTTCTTTGAAATCTCTAGGATTACAATTTATATTTCAGATGTGATTTTTTTTCTTAAAAAAATATTTTTAAGTTTAATGTTTTATTTTTTTTTCAGTAAAAATTATTCATTTGACTTTTCTCATTAAATTTAGAATTTTGGGAAAATAGTATAAAAAAAAATAAGTAAATTTTTCACCATAGTCAAACATGAGATCAACATCCGAGCATGTGACTATTGCTCATGCTTCTGTTATGTTGCAGCTGTAGTTTTATCATATTATTTACTTCCTCATGTTCTTGTGAAAATAATTCAATACTTTTATAAACACTGATAAATTTTGTCGGTGGTTGCACAAGTCGTCATTGCAAAATTCAGCCAAATAATGCGACTTAAAAATCAGTTCAAATGTAAAAAAAAATATAAATTAAATTTAAAATATCATTTAATTAAAGTCATTTTGATAATTATCTAAATTTGAAACAAATTTTTTTTTCTTAAATTAAATAAAATAGCACAATTGTTTCTAAGGATAAGAAAATAAATTTCAAGAATACAAAATAAATTTTCACAAATGCTATAGTAAAATGTCAGTTTTTAACTAAATTTTTCGAATGATTAGGAAAGGATTTCAAACAGCCGAGTTTTTAAAATAGCGTTGTTAAAATCATTTGGAATGCTATAACATTATAAGAACTAGAACTAAAAATCAAAATATTCCCAAATATTTAGCAAAAAACGTCGGGAGCAAAAAAAAAATTGTATCATGCACATTCATGCAAGATTAATTGAACCTAACAAAAGGAACAAAAATGAGATTTTGATGGCCTAATTTCAGCACTGGGAATTGGTAGAGATAGGTACATTATTAGCTAAAGTATGCTGCATCTTTGTATAAAACCAAGGCTGAAAATCTCGAGTTTGTCTCAGGACTTTGCCCTCTCTGCCGTGACGCTCGAGCGACCGAAACTCGCTCCAAAGCTTTAACATTTTGGAGAACAGAGACAGACAATGACTTGTCATTATTCGGGCCCGCATTCCAGCCGGCGGCGATTCGGTCGAATCTGCATTTCGGCTTGCTCGGTCGAGCCGGCCATCGGCAAATAAAAAACGTCGGCAAACGCCGAATTACCTGCGAATGCCAGCAGCAACACACACAGCAACGTCCTCATCGTGCGCCTCTTCAGTCAGTCTCTGATCATATTATTGTGTCACTGCTCATTGACTCATTACAACAGCGACGCGACGGACAGATGCTCCGCTAGAAATGAGTTGTGTTTACGAACAATATAATTATGCAATGCGATAATCACTTGCGTGAAATGTTACTTAGATCGAGGTACGGAAAGAGGGTGTGAGGAAAGCAGATAAAAAAATGTCCCGAATTTCTTAAAAAATAAAATTCCCATTTCAAACGGATTTATTTTTCTGAATTCATTTTAATTTGATTTTATTAAATTTTTTGTTCTAAGGATTTAACTCCAGTGAATGTACAATTCACAAGTTTTGATTTAACTCCTTTATAAAACCCCCTTCTGCCTCCCACCTCATCGCGTTACAGTTTTTGCTAGTATTGTTGCAGCAGAGCGACCTAATAGTACTGCAGTGCTGCCCTCGGCCTCGTCGACTCCTAATGGTTATGCAACCTGCTGAACGCAGCTGTCATGAATGTTGCGCGGCTACATTCTTGCGAGGCGATTATATATTTCGTAACATTAGATACGTACATACATATTTGAACAGAGTGTGTGGCTAATTGCATTCCGCAATGATGAAGAAAACGAATTCGCTTTGACTTGTTTTGTTTGAGCAATACAAATTTAATTTTTAAATTAAAAAAAAATCAAAATTGATAAAGGAAATATAATCATTAATTTATCGTTATTTATAGCAAAGATTGTCTAGCAATAAGAAGCAAAAATATTTTAAAAATATTCAATAGACATATAAATTATAAAGTTAATTGTTAAGGTGCAGTAGCTGCATCTTCTGAATTTGATTTTTTTTTATGTGATTTATAGGCTTCTTTATAGTTCTGGTATTTTGACGAAAACACTAAAATAAATCAATTAATATTTGTTTGACAAAGTTGACACTCGAGGCGGAGATGATCATAGAAATGAAGAAATCGGGCTTGTCCTCGTAGTAGAAATTGTTAAAACTGCACTACCAGTTTCGGTCCCGGTCTGTGACCCTATTTTATGACCAAACGCGCTGCTCGCTGACTAATACATTTCTTGTATAAGTCAGCGAGCAGCGCGGTTGCTCATTAAGGCACTCCTTTTATTGACATAGTCAAATCAAGTCTTTACAACAATGGTGATTAAAATTTCCAATTGTCTTTCAACAATCGCAAAAATCTGTGTATATTGTTGTAAGGACTTGATTTGACTATATAAATAAGAAGTCCTTAAATACGGTCGCAGTCCGGGACCGAAACTGGCAGCGCCTTTTGTTTTTAAATAAACAACAGCAACGTCCTCATCGAGCACCTCTTCAGTCGGTCTCTGATCATTGACTCATAACATAAAGCGATGGACAGATGCTCTGCCGGAAATGAATTGTGTTTACAGATAATATATTGATTTATCTTCAATCTTCATCGTGAAAGTAAATATTCCTCAAAATTTATACCTTATTCTAACGCATTCTAGCATTTCTAACGTTTATTTATTGAGTGTTTAATAAAATAGGATTAATTTTAAATAGTGAATGAAGTAACTTTATTGATGTTAATTAATTGAGTACAATATAATATATGGATCTTGCCTGTTGCTTGTGGTTATTTCCATTTTTATAGCTTCTCATTTCATTTATGGTAATGCTGCAATTTTATATATTTTTTTAATCGTCGCTTCACTTTTTTTCATAAGTACATAATAAATGTGACCTGCGGCTTTCCAGAAGCGTTTGCTTATTAATTTTTTTTTTCATGTATAATTTATTCATCTCACTTCATTTCTTGCGTGGTCGTTTCTTTCTTTGCGTATATATCATATTTTTATAGTGTTTCAACCTATTTACAAACACGCAGCTGATATGCTAAAACAGAGTCATCGATTCCTTCGTGTACAATTCGCAACAATTTTTATTAAGAGGGTTGTGAAAAAAATGAGAGGATCCAGCCCTCGCATGCTTCTTCTAGTTCAACGTTATTTACACAGACACCAGGGATGGACCACCAAAAGCCGCAATTTTCTCTGTTTGACTTTTTAGATTTGTCCAGCAGGCTATCATTCTATTATTGCCAAGATCATTTTTCTTTCAAGTAAATTTCCTGTCTTGTATATTATGGTTATTTTTTTACTTTGAATAATTATAGAATTTATCACTTTCATTATGAATAGAACTTCCTCTAAGCAGGAATAGTGAGATGGGTACATTTATATAGAGAGGACAAAATTATGTGTTTAGCAGAAACACAAAGTGCGAAAATTGTAAAATATACAGCTAGAGACGTTAAATATAACAACAAGACAGTACAAAATGATTGTGATAATGAGCTAATTAGAATGAAGTATAATAGTAGAATGATTTTATACGAGTAAAAGTTGGAAATACAAAAATTAATTGGAAAAATTTCACTGGAAGAAACGTTGTAGAAGACCTCTTCTGTGTTTTGAAGACCACGCAACGCACATACATTTTTCAAAAATGCCCTGAACAAAAAGCTTCAACATTGAATTTTGAAAACGACCAAAGCTAATTTTAAATACATCCTTAACGATCCTTAGAAACGGAGCTTTTGGAAGAAAATTAGTGTGTACCCTCCCCTCGCCTTAATTTACTGTGTACTCGCAATTATTATTTTCAATTCAAGTACAAATCGCAAAAATACTGTGAATTTGAAGAACTTATTTGCGAATTTTCAATTTAAGCTTTTCAGCAATATATTTTATAATAATGCAACGGTAAATCTTTGCTCGTGTAATTCATAAAACTTTGTACACAGCACCATTTCTGCTGAATCCAAAACGTTACAATATTATTATATAATAATACTTCATTATAGGTAATTACAACTCTGAGTGAGGCACAAGATCTACATTGAGAAGCCGTTCATTATACGAGTTATACTTAAAATTTCCAAACATCTCTTGCTCTCTTTTCTAAGCAAACGCTTTTCACACTCAGAATAAAAATTAACTTTTAAAGTTTAAATAAAACATTCTCATCATTTAGGCTGTTGCACCAGACTGCTCTGCCGTTCCATTATGTTTGTTTTACTTCCTATTTGATTATACTTTCCACTAAAATTATTAACAAGCAGAGCAGATTGGCGGATTGTCCTTGGGACGAACGAAATTTGATGGAGAGGAAGGAGAGAGCAGCCATCCCTGGTTGAAACCCGTAACCGTGCTCGTCCAGCACGCACGCAGCATCCGCGCAGCAGATTCACTCTAGTAGGCCTTTCACGCAAAGCAGCTCAGCAGTCGGTCAGTCATCGCAGTCAGTCAGTCACTCTCGATGTGTGGGTTTTGTTTGTTTGTTTCGTTGTAGGCCGGGGGGCAGCAAATCTCACATAACGCTGCACTTCTCCTTGATCTTGCTCGTCCCTTTGGCGCTGCGGTTTTTCGCGTCCAACTGCAACGAGATGGATCTGTTCTTCTCCATGTTGAGCAGCTCCTACCAAAATAAGTTTCAAATTTTAGTTACAGAACATAATATAAGCTAGAAAATTTTATTTTTAAATTTAGAAAATGAAAAAAAAATTAATGTGCTTCTTTTTTCAAGAATAGCAAGTTCAAAAAAAATTTACATATTATTATTTTCATTTTTTTTTATCAATTGAATTTAAATTATGATTTTTGTTTATTCTCCACAAATCAAGTAAAGGAAAAAGGAAAAAATTAGAAGAAACGGCAGCACCAAACAAGTTTCTTAAAAAAGCTCCACGCCGAAAAGATGTGCCGCAAATATATAAATATTACAAAATAAATAATAGCGCTCGTCTATATACTTTCTCTTATATATTTTCTCAAAAGAAAAAAATACTTCTTATCCAATATTGAATAGTGTGGGATTTTTCACACCTGGAAGAGCTCCTTCACGTTGTGGTTGGTTTTGGCGGAAGTTTCCATGTAGCTGCAACCCCAGCGCTGCGCCTGCGCCTCGCCCTCGGCCAGTGTGACCTCTCGAGTGGTCTCCTCGTCCACCTTATTGCCCACCAACATGACGGGAATGCCTTCGAGGCTGCCACCCTTGACTTCACACATGACCTCCCAAATGGGCCGCAGCTCTTCCAGCGACTGTCAGGAGGTGGTTGAAAAGACCAGGATGAACGCGTGCCCCTTGGAGATCGAGAGCCGCTGCATCGCGGGAAACTGGTGCGAGCCCGTCGTGTCTGTTATCTGCAGCGTGCAGATGTTTTTGTTGCAACTGATCACCTTTAACATAGAATGAAAAAATTATATTCAACTAAATAATGAAGTTTGGGGCTTTTTCAGAATTTAGTTTTAAATATTAAATCGTACGAAAAAATTGTTTTACAAAATGCACAATCAGTAATTTACTAAGAGCTGCTGAGAAATATAGTCGAGTAAAGCAAATCCATTTTTTTTTTCGAATAAAGTGATAAAAGAGAAAAAGTGGCTTAAGAAAACAAAACACATATGCAACCACTTAGAACCAGGCGTGCAGCGGGTTGCGTTCAGCCGTCGACAGGAGCTATCAAAGTATATTATTGGTAATTTTTATTTTTTCTCCTTCTAAGTTTGTCCAATGCACACAGCTGGCAAGACTGATCTCCTGCCTTACTTGGCACAGCCGAGCGGATTTCAAATGGCCAATTGTGGCGCTCTTGAGCTAGAGGTCGCAAAAAATTAGGCAATAAAAAACAACGGCTCCAACAGAAGGAACTGTGCAGTGCAGGTCTATAGGTGGTTGTTTATTCTGCTTTTTTTCCTCGGCAGAGTCGGTAGTGTTCCTAAGTGCTGAGGACCCACTTGTTGGATTGCAACAAAGCGTATGATTTTACAAAAGAGACGCACAGCAGCTCAGAAATCACATGAATTATTGTTAATGTGTATATCGCGTCTTGTACAAACAACGAAATAACGCGGCGCATAATAGTTTCACAACATCACATTTTCAGACGGCTGTATTCAAAATTGCCAGAATTAACAATTCCGCGAGAAATTCAAGTTTATTATTATTTCTGCTCTTGCAAATTGCTCTTATTCTTGGAGTTGGGCGAAGAATGACAACACACATAGGAGGAGATAAACATTTAACAATACTGCACTTTGAAAAGGCATGGCGCGTCTCGAGACACACTCGAGAAGGAAGAGAAGAAGCGACGAGTATAATTACCTGTCTGTAAGTGTCTTCAATGGTAGGAATGTAGGACTCGCGAAAAGTGCCCTTGACGAATCGCAAGACGAGGGAACTTTTACCCACACCACCTGCTCCGAAAACCACTACTCGGTAGTCGTTGCTCTGCTCAGGCATTCTTGTGTCTTGTCTGTTTTGCGGGCTGACGGCACTGCTGTTTCCTGCAACAACAAAAACACACCAGCCGACCTTAATCGCCACTCTTAACTCATTAATTGCCCTCTTCAGCAGCCCCTGCCGCGCGCTAGCTCGCTCGGTCTCCATTTCGCAACCCACACGCTCGTTAAAGAATTTTCCGCACTGCGCGCCTTGATTAGCGTTCTGAATGCAGAGATTGTTGCAAATGCTCTGGGAGCAAGAAACTTACAAAAACTTTCCGATACAATTGAATTCAAGAGGATAAAATAAAAAAATAATGATAATAAACCGTGTCTTGAATGTATTTTGCTTTTTTTTTAAATCGTAACAAGACAAGTGATGAAATAAGAATTAAAATTATTCTAAGCTGATTTTTTAAATTTTCTTGTTAAATAATAATTATTTTCTAGTTAATCATATAGGATACATATCGAGGACTCAACTTTCTTTCCAAATCGCCTTTCTGATTCTGAATATGTACTGCTATAAGATTGTTTAAGCTTTATAATTTAAAATTTTATTAAAAAATAGAAATTTATTTTACTGAAGTAAATAAAAATAAAATGTTTATTACATAGAAAACAAAATTAAAATTAAACAAATAAATTATTTATTATTTTAATCATTTAAATTAAGCAATAACAAAGAAACAAATTATATAAAACTAATAAAATATTAAAACTAATTAGTGTTTAATTTTAATTTAACAACTAATTAAATCTCTTTTTAAACCAGCGTGTAAATCCAATTAATATGATTTTTCTCCTGTTTATTTTTCAGGTATTTACCGGTTAAGCGTGATTTGTTATTTTATTATTAAACGTAATCGCACAGGTTGGTGCGCGTAATTCGCATCAAATTGAATAATCCCTTTCATTTTCAGCTTGCGAATTAATACCACGGGCCACGCAGACTTAATAAGCAAATTTTCACCTGGCCAATTCGACTTAGCGCGTATTATTTATTGCGATAAATTGTATTGGTATCGACTTTCCTGCGCTCACGCGTGCCTAATTACGCTTTCGTTCGGGAAAACAAACACGATTAAATTTACAAGCGAGGCTCGCAAATAATCGGGGCCTTGTATCGGCGTGTTTGCTTTGCGTGTAAAATAATTCACGTTGAGCAGCGAAAGCGAGCGAGCGGTAGGCAGCCACTTTCAGTTTTCAGAGAGGGCCAAGAACTAACCAACTGGGAACGCAGAACGAATCAATATTGTATACGCCGCCTTGTATAATAGATGGGCCGACAAATTTAATTAAAAATCACGCCTTGAAAGGCAGAAAAGGCCGTGGTAATGGAAAACGTGACTTTTACAACCGTCGAAGAGCTTTTTATCGCGGCAGAAAAGAAAAATTGATATTATTTCGCGACAAAGCCCCGAATATAAAAAAAGCGAATCGTAAAAATCAAAACACGCTGGCTGGGGAAGCAGGAAATTCGCAGTCGATTCCTGGGAGCGAGCGAGCGAGCGCGACCTTGAACCTTCAAAGGAACCGCGCTTTGTTTTGAGGCAGCGTGCTGAATGCAGAGGACGGTACAAGGTGCATCGATCCGGTGGGCACCGGTGACGCCAGCCGCCCCGACACACCACCAGTGACCAACATGGCCCTTTGGCGCCCTGCGCGAAAATCGCACCTCTGCGCGAACGACTTTTCGTTGCCCACCGCAGGCGACAAATGTGATTTTTTTCCGCATCAAACAACATTCCGACCAGTATTGGGACTCTGGGGTAATTTGAGCGCAAAGTAGGGTCTCGAGAGTGTGCGAAAGATGGTTTATTCGGGGATTTTGAGCCGGATATGCGCCAAATAGGGTGGCATTTCTCCGAACTACCCTTGAAAACGATTTCCTGGTGGGAACGGCAAGGCCTTGAAATAAAATGCAAAATGCAGCACACAATTCACAATTTTATTTGGATTTATTTAATTTTTCTTTGATAAACGTTTTTGCGTTAATTTTGAACTGTTGTTAATTATTTTTCAGAATCAAAATGAAATTAGTAAAATTAAAACAAATAAAAAGCGGAGAGTTAAAAGATTTTGCAAAATTCATTAATATTATTTATTATTTATTTATTTTTTATTTAAATGAGTAAATAGAGATGAAAATATGATATATTTAATTATTCCCTATTCATTCAAATATACATGGCAGAAATTACTGCTGTAAAAATTTGACATTTAACCTTTTTTAGTAAAAGATTTATTTGAGAAAGTTCAACACTTTTTAAAATTCTGCTACAGGATAAAATAATTTATTCCTATAATTAAAAAAAATTATATTTATTAATTTATTAAAATAAAATGAAATCTGAATATCTAATTTTAATGATTATATTGTTGTTGGTAGAACTTTTTAACATATTAAAAGCCAAGCCTATACGGTATGTCCATATTTCCCAGAACGCACCAAACCAACTCTCGCATGAATACCAAATATAATTATTTCTGTTGAAGTAGTTGCCGTGTTTCGGCTTTGGTGCGACTTTATTTACTTTGGAGCGAAAGAAGAGCTGCGAAAGTTAGTTTTTTGAGTTGTCACCGTCGTCGTCGCGTTCGCAAACACGACACTTTTTGTCCGTTTGATTCGCCCCGTGAGAGTTGCGCCAAGGAGAGAGAAAGAAAAAGAGGCCTTTGATTCAGCAACTCCGCGCCCTGCTCCGAGCAGCCTCCGTGCACGAGCTCACACTTGACTCGGATTAAATTTTCATATCTGCCCGCGAGGGGTCAAGTGCGCGCCGCTATTGTTGTTTCTGCCAATTACCAAGGCCAGCTCCCGCTATCTGCCGAGGAACAAAAGGAAAAATCTCCAGCGCGAGAAAAGGGGTGCGGGACGGCCCAGGTGACGCCGCCAGAGTTTGTCTTTCTCCCTTTCCTTTCTTGGGTGGGCTATTGATTCGCGGCCAGCCCCAATATCAACAAGTTGTGCAGCTCATTTTTCATTCATTTGCACCCAACGCCTGAGCGTTCGCCCAACGTGATTATGACCCGCTGTGTTCCGCTGCAAGCGCTTAATTAGCCGCTCCGTGTGACACGCCAATCAACTTTTAATTGGGTCTCGCGCTAAGCCGCCGTCGACCCTGAAGCGTTTTGTGCACGCGCTCGTAGCCAAAGTGCGAGTTGTTGCCCCCTCGTATATAGAGCACTTGATGGCGTTTCTCTGCGTGTCGCCCGAGGAGGCTGTGCGACGTTCGGCCGAAATTGATACGTTCTGTGTTACGGATGCTGAGCTGAGCAAAGCTCGCTTACACGTTTTTGACCTTTGAACTTTGCCTACCGCAATTTTTTGTCGATTATAAAACTTTTTTTATTTTCAAAAACTAGAATTTTATTTTTAAAAATTAGCTTTTTCTAAAAAAATTAAAATTATAAATATTGTTTGATCTGAAATTTGATTTTTTTTATTTTTACTAAAATTGGTTTTTCTTTATTTGACAGCTAAAAAAAAATCAAAATTTACGCCCAAGCTTTATCGTTCGTGGCATTATACTTTTAAAAATGGTTGACTAAAGTGTGTTTTACTATTATGCGAATCGATTCCAGAGGGGAATGTATAAATAATATTGGAGAAAACGCGGGGGTTCTAAACATCAGCGTGGCTATAAAAATCGCTTAACGGTGACACGCGATCCTTTTTTGGCCCCCGCGTACCTCGTACTCATTGGCGCCTTGGGAATTTTTCAAACATTTTAGCAAATGAAATTGGATATTTACAAAAAAAATAGCCGACCTCAAAAGGTCACCTCCACTCTGAGTGCCCGCAAACGTACCTTTGGAGTCGGCTTGCATTTTGAGGACGGTTTTTGCTTCGTTGTCGATCCAGCGTTCGTTGCACGCACGTTTGTTCTGCAGGCGAGTCACTTTGCGAGTGCCCGGGCGATCCATGCAGCCTGCCTCGCGCACCCAGCGACTCGATCGGAGGTCTCCGAAAACTCGGCGCAACCCTTCACCTTTAGCCCCCATTCACAACTCCTCGTCAACGTCAAACCCTCACAACTAATCAAAACAAGCGGATTTTGGCACCTCCGACCTTTGTCAATTTCACTAGTCATGCAGGAATTATTTGTCTTCATTTGTGCAGGTAATGTAATCATACATCGCTGAAAATGAGTTGCAACAGTGTTTGTAAAAATATGATGTTTGATAATTTTATTTTGAATTTAATTATTTAAAAAAAAATCAATTAGCGTTATTTTAAAATATAAAAAGTAAATTTTTGTAAATTGTGTTCTCTTTTTTTTATGTTGTACACTTGTAATTATGTGTTTAATAAATATTTTGAAATAGTTGAAGATGATTTTTTTAAATAAAATATATTATTCCACACTTTCTTGAGATACATTTTTTTGTAACAGCAGCTCTAAACGATATTTTCAATTGCTGATAAAAAAAACAGTGCCAACGGTGCAAATGGAAAAGGCAGCTGGAGCTTGAAAGCTGCGGAAAAGTTTTATATGTCTTTTTAGTGGAGCGAATTATCGACTCGCTGCTGGTCAACTTTTTTAATCGAACGGATTCCATCGGCGCCCGTGCACTGCCATTACTCTCCCAAGGACGCAGCGGTACTAGCAGCGGCCGTATTGAATTTTCAACCTAGGGAGCTGAAACGACGGCTCAGTGCATCTCGCGAGTCGAATCACATTTGCACACTCATTCAAGTACTTGGCCGAGAAGTGCATTTGAATAGAAATTAACTCCAGCTCCTTTCAGCTGCAAAACTTTTGCTCGCTTTCATCGAATCGGAATTGCGATTTACTCGCTTCTCGCCGCGTAAGGCGGAAAGTTGTCTGGCGCGCGCATTACGAGCTGGACAATTTTTGCACCGCCCGCAACTTTTCGCAGGCAGAGTTCAATATAAATTTTTTTGGTTGTTTTGACGCGCGCGCCACGGCGTCTCCTTTTTAGATTCGCTATCTCCGTGTTATTTGTCTTTTGCGCGGATTCGCAACGGCAGAATCAGCAGACAGTGGCAAGATGAGGCGCCTCTTTTTGTTATTTCCTCGAGGGTGCATAGTGCTTTATTGCTCTATCGATTCAAAGCCCAGTGGGAATCGCTTCCCTTTAAGAGGATCACGCCTTGCTTTCAGACGAAATGAGCAGCAATTCTGGAAACAAAGGCCCGAGTCATAATCGTAACTATCTCCAAGAAATGAGAGTCCCAAAAAACTTCATCTCGGCCGGAGCGCAGCTGGCTGCGAATGATGCTGCTTTTTATTTCCCGAGAGCATCTACGTCACAAGGCCGAGAATATTTTCTGCGGTGGTCGCGATTTAATGGGCATATCTTTCCTTTAGAAAGAAACGGGTCGCCACAAGTGGTTATTCTAATAAGGACACGACCGGCCATTAATTTAGTCCGTTTTGTTCACATCAAACGGAGATTATAATTATTTCCAACTTTCTTTGTGAACTGATTATAAGACGAATCAAAGTACATACGATTTGAATGTAATTGTGCAAAAGCTAGAATGAGAAATGGCTTTTGGCGGAGTGCCTAAAACGCTCCGCTAATTGTGACTGCTCACTCGCCTCACTTTGTGCGCAGGACACTCACACGACCGGCCAGACAAAGCAAAGGGGACATTAGAGACGCGTACAATCAGTGTGTAAACAACAACACACGGCGATCGACGACCGTTAATCTGTCGCCTCATTACTGGCAGACGAGTTTCTTGATTGCCCCACAGCAGCAAAATGCAATTACCGTGCTAATTACTCTGGTTCTCAAAACGCACTTTAGCCGTTTAGATAATGAGCGCCGGTATAATGCAACTCTAATGCATCTGCAATGGGAATTGGGGACTCTAGATTTATGTGGAAGCGTGTTGAGCCAACCGCTATGTGGGTTTCCTTCATCGCTAATTGAACCTCCTCATTAAAATGTAATTAATTAAAAAGTCATAATCTACAATTAATTCATTACATAAATCTAATTCTAATAATAAGATTTCGAGGCGCGAATGTGTGGAATTGGAACGCCTGTGGATATCATATGTAGGCAACCTGCTCGACACGCGCGATGAGACGATTGCATAATCGGACTTTTATAAATTAATAAGCACATTCCGTGCAATTGAGGACAGCAATTAACTAAGTTCAGGGCAATACATTAGAAAAATTTGAAGACCGCTCGAATGAATTGAAAAATATTTGCAGCCTTGCGATAAAAAAAATCAACTTTTATTTTAAGCCACAATAAGCTCTAAAGGCTCTGCCCGACTTGTTCTTGGGCGATTGAGCGTTCCAACTCGGGACTAGGCCACCTCGCCGGAGAGAAGCAACACCCTCCACCCCCAATCGATTTCCTGTCGCTGAGGGTTGCATTCCACTCCTGGTGCTGCCATCTCCGACACGGTCAGCGGACACACCAAGACTTCGAATCCCAAACAACAGTTACTAGAGGTCGGGTCGGCGCTCATTTCGTGCTTTCATTGATAAAAAAGGCGCGTCGATTTCGCGATCCACCCTTTACCCCTCGCATTCTCGTCGTTTCGCTGCCTCCCCGATTCAAACACTCCGTTCGTCTGATTTAATTATGGTGAGATGGAAACACCGCCTGCGCTTACATAAATCTTCCGATATCAGTCATAAATAAATTAAATCAAATCTTGAGGAAATTGCTTGATTAAATGGAAAGGTTAACAGTGAAGTTAAAGGAAAGCTTTTGTGAGGAAAAATTTTTGCAACATGTCTTTAAAAGTAATAACTTCTTTATTTCTTTGTTTATTTTTACTGCGCATAAAGTAAATTTTATAGCAAAATATCCATCTCAAACCAAAACTAAAGCTAACAAGGAAAATTTTTACCTTAAATTTTATTCTCGACATAAACTTATTTTTATTTCTTTATTATTATAATAATATAAATCATTTTATTTTCACAGCATGTAATAAATGGGTGAAAATTTTGAAATCAGTCTAATTTTTTGATAAATTAATTAAAAGCATCTTTTAACTAAAAGCTGTGAATTCTCTATTGAGAATATTTTATAAAATTTTATGCAACATTAAATATAAACAAACAAACAAAAAACTTCTTTGTGGAAATTCAATCGTGGTTTGAAGTGGAATTTTGAATAATAGCTACATATAAAAAATCAAAGTACTGAACTTTACAAAAGGTTTGTATGAATTTGCCAATTAAAATAATAGAAAAATAGTAAAGAAATCGTCATCTGAATTGGCGAGTTTTCAAATTTTTCTTGTTTTTCTAAACAACTCAATCAGTTTATCATTGGTATTTTAGTTTTTTTCCTACTGATTGCTTTCTCGATTTACGTGCGCTCTAATAATAAAGGTCGCTTTCATAAATTGGCTGCCAATTTTGACCTACACTGTCGCAAGCAGGTCAAGTCATTAAATAATCGAGCTTTGTTTGGTGCCAGCAGAGCCAGGAGGAAAACTGTTGTGTGCGATATTTTCCTTGTTGCGCAAAAAACGAGCCACACCTTTTGGTGGATCAATGCATAAATCATTCTCGGCCTAAATGAAAATAAATTGGCGCAAGCCTCAAAAGTGTAATATTATATAAAAGGTGACATTGAGAGAACGTTGCTAAGAGAAGAAGCCGCGAAAAAAGTGCACGCAATTTAGTAACATGATTTGATTGATGCGCCGCCGCTTTCGGCGGAATAGCTGCGTGAGCGTATATGATAAATTGTGTCTTGTCAAAAGAGAAACCGCCTCCGCCGTGGCTAATGAATTGGAATGACGTGAGAGCGAATCTATAGGGAGCGCTCGTGTGACCTTTGAGGCGCCGTGCGCGAAACGCGGGGGTGTCGCGATCAACGCGTGGGCGCCGCGTGCGTCAACGGATGGATCAGCTGCGGCGCGCGCGGGGTCAAATTCTGGCGGTTGCCATGACGACGCGGCACGGAAAAAGGACACGCGGCCCACGCGGCGGCAGGTGCCCTCCCGCCGGGTCATGCAACAATATACAACTTCTAAATCCAGCAAACAGACCGCGGGGACAAGATCAACAATCGGCGCCGATTCGCGCTGCAAATCGTGACGTCACGCTCATTGATTGTTCAATGCGGTGCTCCCTCTGTTATGGCCGCACTTTTCGCACCAAAACCGCAGCCGAGATTGCAGACACAACACAATTGTGCACAATTTCAACACTCGAAACGGAAAGAATGAATATTTAGGAGAAGGAAATAATTTTTCAAGATAATTAAGGGGGAAGAGAAAGTGTTTAAAGGTCAAATAAACGAAGGGGTTGAATGGGCCCACGGGGTCCACGAAATATTATCTGGCATTGGGCCAGATCAGTAGAGATCGATTAGTATTGGATGTCGGACGGTTCAAAGTAAACTAATTTGAAATAAGTCCGATTCGGAATCTTTTTTCGAAATTAGAGAAATCGGCAAGGTTTTGCACCGACGTAGAAGAAAGACAGGTCAGGGACAAGTTGATTTCGAAACGGAAAGGAGGATTTTTGCGGGCCCTTCTCAGGGTCTGGCAAACTCACCTGCAAGTTTGAGCGAAGCGAGCAACAATGGCAACTGAACAACAAATCACACTGAGCACAACAATGAAAAGATTGAGCCCGTAAAAAGTGAAAGCACGCTTAATGGCTAGTTATTGTCGGAGGGCCGTTTGTACAATAACACACCCTCGGCACGAGACACACGGCCAGCGCGACTCTGGCGCGCGCAGATGACGTCCTCCTCCGTTGCCTGGGGCAACGTGCGAACCAGAAAATCGCGTCAACCGACACACTCGCCCCTCTGCCTGCCGCTATTGATTTTGCCCTAATGGCCCGCAAATTGCCGCCCCCGCGCACCGCCCCCGCGGGGTCGTCTGCCAACCCCCAAATGCCAGCAGACACGACCAAATGCCAGCAGCAGCAAAAGTCGGCGGGTCAAACGGCCGCTTTTATTATATGCGCTTTTTTTTGTTGAATGGGCACCGTGAATGGAATGGCCAGATCGAGAGAGCAAGAGGAGGCTTTGATGCTGCGGTCTGTTTTGTCTCGAGCACCACCGCATATTGTGTCGTCGCCGCCGCCGCCGCCGCCGGTCTCTCGGCCATGAAATGAAATGTATCGGCTCTCTCGAGCTCTCTGCATGAATTAGCTCTGTTTTGCACACTGTGTTTGCCAACTTGGGCAGATTGCGCTGCTTTTGGCTTCGTTGGCTTATGTAATATGCATCAAAGTCCTTGCTTGCAGTGCACACGACGGACCAAGGTTTTGCGGCACAATTTGATGTGTGTTGCTGTAGAGCTTGCGCCCACTCTCGATTGTACCCTCTCTGGATGCCGCATTGAGAGCACATTTAGACTAGATTAAAAAATTCTACACACTAAGTACTAAACACTAAGTATTTAAATCGTATTTTGGCTCAATTTTTGTGGCCTTCCTGTTTTGATCCAGAGACATAATAATAAAGAAAATAGAAATTATGAGCCATATAAATATCTGACAACCGAGACAGCAATAGGAAAGAAATAATTAATTAATTTAGATTTTTGTATTTAAAATCAATAGGAAACTGAGAAAAAACTGGAAACAAATATTTCGCTAAAAAATTTCAGAAAACTATGATTATATTCAGTTTTTGAATGTATTAAAAAATATGGTTGATGAATAATTAATCAATTACTTTTCTTTGCCGCTTTTAAAGATGCATTAATAAATCTATTAAAAAGTAAATTTTAATTGATATATTAATTACAATTAATGTAACAGATTATTATGAATTAGTAAAGTTACTTTAGATAGATATTTGACAGTTATCACAATTAAGATAATTTAATGAAAACTGCGTATATGTTAGAAGTGGGTAGATTTGGGATAAATAAAAAAAGGCTAATTTGGAATAAATTCAAAAATGCCTTAATTTTTTTTATTATAAAGCAAATTATTATCAAATTGTGAATTTTAAATGAATTAGAAAAGGTTTACCTCAAATCAGAAAAAGTGAATTTGTATAAAATCTGATAAAGCTGATTTAGGATAAATAAGAGAAAGCCAATTTGAGATAAATTAAAAAAAAATGCCAAATTGATTTGAATTTGAAAAAATTTAATGCAAAAATTTAATGCAAAATCGGAAAAAATTAATTTGAGATGAATTAGAAAATTAGAATTTGAAATAAATCTGTTAAAGGTGATAAGCCGATTTGGGATAAATTCAAAAATGCCCTAATTTTTTTTTATTATAAAGCAAATTATTATCAAATCGGGAATTTTAAATGAATTAGAAAAAGTCAATTTACCTCAAATCAGAAGCTTCAAAGTGATAAAGCCGATTTAGGATAAATCAGAGAAAGCCAATTTGAGATAAATTAAAAAATGCCGAATTGATTTGATTTTGAAAAAGGAAATTAATGTAAAATCGGATAAAATTAATTTGAGATGAATTAGAAAATTAGAATTTGAAATAAATCTGTTAAAGGTGATCAGCCGATTTGGGATAAATTAAAAAAGACTAATTTGGAATAAATTCAAAAATGCCTTAATTTTTTTTATTATAAAGCAAATTATTATCAAATCGGGAATTTTAAATGAATTAGAAAAAATCAATTTACCTCAAATCAGAAAAATTGAATTAGTATAAAATCTGATAAAGCCGATTTAGGATAAATAAGACAAAGCCAATTTGAAATAAATTAAAATAATGCCGAATTGATTTGAATTTGAAAAAGGAAAGTAATGTAAAATTGGAAAAAATTAATTTAAGATAAATTAGAAAATTAGAATTTGAAATAAATCTGTTAAAGGTGATAAGCCGATTTGGGATAAATTAAAAAAGGCTAATTTGGAATAAATTCAAAAATGCCTTAATTTTTTTTATTATAAAGCAAATTATAATCGGGAATTTTAAATGAATTAGAAAAACTCAATTTACCTCAAATCAGAAAAAGTGAATTTGTATAAAATCTGATAAAGCAAATTTAAGATAAATAAGAAAAAGCCAATATAAGATAAATTAAAAAATGCCTAATTGAGTAGTACTTGAAAAAGTAAATTAATGTTAAATTTGAAAAAGTGAATTTTTAATAAATCTGATAAAGCTAATTTAAGGGGAAATAGAAATGAGGCGAATTGGGATTAATAAAATAAAGCTCTGTTTCTATCGCCTAATTTTATGACAATAATATTTTCAAAATATTGTGGTATTTCTTCATTGTTTCCTTTTGGCTCTAAGTGTTTTGCAGGATGGTATAAAACGCAACGGAAATCCACAAAACATTTAATCATTCACCGGAAATAAGGCAATTTTTTAAGTTGTAATAAAAAATAAAAATAAATTACAATCCATTATCATTTGGATAACTTTTTGATGAGTAATAAATTAAGTTACCAAAAGGCAAATATGTCAGTTTCGTGACCCTTTTGTTACTTCGTGACTCAAATAATAATATTGTTAGTACAAAACGTAAGAAGAGTTTTGCTGTTTTTTTTTTTTTTAATTTTTTTCCACTGATTCGTTTTAAAGTTGTTACTTTAATTTGCAATTTGCGCAATATTCTTCAAGACAAAGGTCTAATAAAAAAAAAAATTACAATTTTTTTAAAAGAGATTAAAACCCTTAAAACCCATAGAGCTGGTTGCTTTAATCATCAAAAGATTTGTTTTTTACTTGAAGAGCCATCTTTTAACCATCTCTTTGATTTGACGGTGAAGAAAATATTTCACCTGCCTCAGACTTGCCTCTTGTTTTGTCTGGCAACACGTTCGGGAAATGAAGCATTTCAAGTGCACTTGTGAGGATCAACGGGCAGAGCACCAATGGCGTATATTATATTTATACAGTATAACTGTTTAGGCCAGACAAAAGGCTGCCGTTAAGCAAAAATCAATGACACTACTGCATTTGGATTCGTTAAAAGGGGCTGGTGACAAATTCGATGAGAACCATAAAATTCCGAATTGACATTACTCGCAAATAAACTTTGTTCAAAATTTTAACTTTAAAAGAGAATCAATCATAATAACTCGTATACTAAAAAATCACTTGAATCCTTTGAATCATAATTTATTTATTGATCTAGCCTTCCAATATCACAACTAGTGTAATTTTAGTCAGCCAATACACATAATTGCATTGGAATAAAATTAAATTCAAAACTCAGAAATTAAAATTTCTCAAATTAAGACTCCTAATTATTATAATTAACTCACCTCTTTAAACGGGGAGAATTAAAGTTGACTTATGTAATTTCAAAATTGCATCACGCAAGATCCAACAACTTCAGAGACGTTTTCGACAGACACTCTTTGGCCAACATAGGAAAGGAAGTGTGCATGTTGCACGAGTGTCCAGTTTGGCGCCCGATCCCCCTGGCGGCGGCTGTTGGAAACTAAAATCCAGTCTCTTCTCCCTCGTCCCCGCAGCCTGCCTGCGTGCGAATGCGAACGAGCCAAACATTGCATGACTGTGATGGACCGGAGCTTCAGGGACGATTCTGATGGAAATTCGTCTTCGGACGGTTCGGACAAAGCAGCACCCAAGGACTTCATGCGCTCTTTGCCAGGCACCGCTGGCAAGCGGACCAGGGTAAATTTTCGAATCGCTGCTAATTTTCCTTTTTACAGGGCCGAGAAAAATGAACGAATCTGCAATGCAAATTTTGCATTTTTCTCTTTTGTCTACATCGACCGTAAGAGTTGACGGGATTGATCGAAAACGGTCGCAATAAATTCCTGGATATTTCAAATTTAAATTAGGGCTATTTTTAGACGGCGATGGGAATTTTAGGCCTGATTTTACTCGTTTACAAAATATCACTCGAGTGTTCTGACCAAGGCCAACACTTGTTAGCGCGCCCTAGACTTTAGTATCACAAAATGTTTGCTAAGGTACCAGTTTATTTACAAAATAGGTAACATTTTGTCACTATTAGACCATCGAATATTTAAATTTAAGTTTATTCAAAAATCATTCACAAGATTGTGTTTTGAATAGGGGAAGTGCGCAGCCCTGGCGCTAGAGCGTTGGTGGCTGTCTTTCGAACTTTTTGCACTTTGTCAGAAATGCGGATCCCGGTGACTAAAACGAGTATAGCTAACTGAATACGTCATGGATACCTTAGGGGCAGTAACTGGTGGTGGCCGATGAAACCTGTGAGAGTTTACAGTTGTTGCATCGCACCGCGGTGGAGCGTGGGGATGTCGAAAAGCAGCCAAATGTTGGGCAGATCGGCTTCTGCCGGAGTGCCTCGCAGGCGCATGCGTCAGCGACTTACGGCGTTGGCCGAAAGTGTGGTTTTGCTACTGGTGCTAGCTTCACTGAACTGAACCAGCTGGCTGAAGAAAATGAAAACAGCGACCGGCGACGCGACCGCTCATTTTTAGAGTGTGACTCAACTTTCCCGTCATTTTTCACGAGTAAGTTTACACCAGCACTGCATGGTCTTTACGCTTAAAAGCCAAATCGAATCGCCGACCCGGCTAGAGTCGACAAAAAGCGACAAACGAGAAATGGTTCGTGTACACGAGGCACACATTAATATTCGCAACGCAAAGACTCAGCCAGAGGGTGAACGGGCGGAATAAGGCGCAAGCAAAGATTATTTCTTGGTGTTCCGATTTTGAATTGTGAGCTACAAACCCATTCTTACACTTTCTCGTTGCATATTTTGTCGTGGTTTTACTTGCGATTCTGCTGATCTCATCAAACAAACTTTTTATCACCCGTCGCCATTCGCCATGTGGTTGCCTTAATATGCATACATAAACAGAATGGTGCAATTTATTTTTATAAAAAAGAATAAGCGCGTGATTATAATTGAGTTAATATGTGTTGTATTAATTAAACTTGAAGGGGGTCAAATGTAAAATGTACATATTGTCTTTTGCGATTAAAGTTTATCTTCATTAAAAGTTAGTTCCTCATTCTCGATTTCTTCTTTCAGGCCTCCGCACGAGAGCGATTTAATTGTGTGACGACTGTGCACATGAGTGTTGGACCAGAAGTTATGTTCCTGCCAGCAAAGAGTATCGGACATAAGAGAAGGCTGCTGCAATGCACTCGTCCTTGATCTTACTAACTGTCGGTAAGATAAATTTGCCCCGAGTGAAGCCCTTTCGACTCTCGCAGCCTACCATCCAACTACCTCTGCCCACCCAATCCAACCAGTATGTTTATGGAATAAAAATTTGATATCTTGAACAAATCTCTGAATCCATCCTTCAACTTTTGACAATAAAATTTTTTGTACAAAGTCTCTTGATGTGCCCTTCGCCTTTAAACACTGGTTTGAATTTTGGCACGTAAAGTCGGTGTTTCTTTTTTTTTAACTGTGAATTTCTTTTTCCAGGCTGACTGCAGTGGATGGGCGCCCCAGTGGTTTTTGCAATTGATTTGCCAAAAATTGAATTTCTCGGATGAAAGAAAGTCGGAAAGAGCACTCGTCCCAAAATTTCGAGCCGCTCCGTGCCAGGCGGCGCTCCACTCATCCTCGGCAAGTCGACTGTGTCTCACATTGGGTAATTAACTAACTCACTCCCTGCCTCACCCCTTCCAACTCTGCTCCCCAACCGCCGTGCCAAGCATTATTAAACTAATCAAAATTTCTTTGACCAAAAATCCCTTGATGCTCCCATCGTATTTTACCACTGCTTTCAATTTTGGCACGTAAAGTCGGTGTTTCTTTTTTTTAACTGTGAATTTCTTTTTCCAGGCTGACTGCAGTGGATGGGCGCCCCAGTGGTTTTTGCAATTGATTTGCCAAAAATTGAATTTCTCGGATGAAAGAAAGTCGGAAAGAGCACTCGTCCCAAAATTTCGAGCCGCTCCGTGCCAGGCGGCGCTCCACTCATCCTCGGCAAGTCGACTGTGTCTCACATTGGGTAATTAACTAACTCACTCCCTGCCTCACCCCTTCCAACTCTGCTCCCCAACCGCCGTGCCAAGCATTATTAAACTAATCAAAATTTCTTTGACCAAAAATCCCTTGATGCTCCCATCGTATTTTACCACTGCTTTCAATTTTGGCACGTAAAGTCGGTGTTTCTTTTTTTTAACTGTGAATTTCTTTTTCCAGGCTGACTGCAGTGGATGGGCGCCCCAGTGGTTTTTGCAATTGATTTGCCAAAAATTGAATTTCTCGGATGAAAGAAAGTCGGAAAGAGCACTCGTCCCAAAATTTCGAGCCGCTCTGTGCCAGGCGGCGCTCCACTCATCCTCGGCAAGTCGACTGTGTCTCACATTGGGTAATTAACTAACTCACTCCCTGCCTCACCCCTTCCAACTCTGCTCCCCAACCGCCGTGCCAAGCATTATTAAACTAATCAAAATTTCTTTGACCAAAAATCCCTTGATGCTCCCTTCGTATTTTACCACTGCTTTCAATTTTGGCACGTAAAGTCGGTGTTTCTTTTTTTTAACTGTGAATTTCTTTTTCCAGGCTGACTGCAGTGGATGGGCGCCCCAGTGGTTTTTGCAATTGATTTGCCAAAAATTGAATTTCTCGGATGAAAGAAAGTCGGAAAGAGCACTCGTCCCAAAATTTCGAGCCGCTCTGTGCCAGGCGGCGCTCCACTCATCCTCGGCAAGTCGACTGTGTCTCACATTGGGTAATTAACTAACTCACTCCCTGCCTCACCCCTTCCAACTCTGCTCCCCAACCGCTGTGCCAAGCATTATTAAACTAATCAAAATTTCTTTGACCAAAAATCCCTTGATGCTCCCTTCGTATTTTACCACTGCTTTCAATTTTGGCACGTAAAGACGGTGTTTCTTTTTTTTAACTGTGAATTTCTTTTTCCAGGCTGACTGCAGTGGATGGGCGCCCCAGTGGTTTTTGCAATTGATTTGCCAAAAATTGAATTTCTCGGATGAAAGAAAGTCGGAAAGAGACCTCGTCCCAAAATTCGAGCCGCTCCGTGCCAGGCGGCGCTCCACTCATCCTCGGCAAGTCGACTGTGTCTCACATTGGGTAATTAACTAACTCACTCCCTGCCTCACCCCTTCCAACTCTGCTCCCCAACCGCTGTGCCAAGCATTATTAAACTAATCAAAATTTCTTTGACCAAAAATCCCTTGATGCTCCCTTCGTATTTTGCCACTGGTTTCAATTTTGGCAAGTAAAGTCGGTGTTTCTTTTTTTTAACTGTGAATTTCTTTTTCCAGGCTGACTGCAGTGGATGGGCGCCCCAGTGGTTTTTGCAATTGATTTGCCAAAAATTGAAATTCTCGGATGAAAGAAAGTCGGAAAGAGCACTCGTCCCAAAATTTCGAGCCGCTCCGTGCCAGGCGGCGCTCCACTCATCCTCGGCAAGTCGACTGTGTCTCACATTGGGACTCACTCCCTGCCTCACCCCTTCCAACTCTGCTCCCCAACCGCTGTGCCAAGTATTATTAAACAAATTAAAATTTTTTTGGCCAAAATTCCCTTGATGCTCCCTCCGTCTTTTTGGACGCCTCACATGTTCATATAAGATTTTTGCTCAAAATTAATTTTCATTGGTTAAACAAGTTGGACTGAGCATTTGTTTGTTTTTGAAGCTAGTGTTTATAAATAAATTTCAGCAAGAAAAGTATTAATCCTTTTTGGTTTATTGTTTTTTATTTGATAAATTTCATAACATATTATTTATTTGAATTATTGTTCAGTATAAATATCTTCAACTATGATCGAAACATATCCTAAGGTTTGACTAGATAACCTGTGCCTGTGAAATTCGCCAATGTGGCACAGCAGATCCAAATCCTGTCAATCATTGGCATGAGAGTGATTGGGATTGTGTTATCCAGAATGTGAAATTCTTTTATTTTTCTAATTGCCCTTTCGACATGAACCCTAATTTCAGCAATTCTCTCACTGTTCCTTAATTCTTCAGAACTGAAACGCTCCTTATTCTTCAAGAAATCGGGGATCAGGACTTCCACTCCCTTTTTTTCGAGAACTTTTGCAATATCGAAGCCTCGATCAGCCATCACAATGTCACCTGTTCTCAGTTTTTCCATGATCCCGCAGTGCTGGAAAAGCTTTTTGTCTGATGTTCGGCCAGCATAGACACGTGATACAAAAGTAATGGTTCCATTTGTATCAATTGCCACAAGCATTTTTCCAGTGACGTGGTTCTTGTAAGAAGAGAAAATTTCCTTTTGTGCCTGAGATGCACTTGGTCTCTCGGTGTAGATCTCTGTGGCATCTACGATAGTAATTATCTTCTTCAGCCTATCCTTTAATGGGTTCGGGATGAGCATTGGGTTGCTTGGTGCTTCTGGTGTCCAGAATTCAATTTGAGAGAGTCTATCAGCCATTAATAGGAGCCATGTGTTTATGATACGGGATGTGCGCCCCGGGCTGATTCCAAAAAGGTGCCCTAGGTGTTTTACTTCATAGCCTCTACGCAGACGGATCATGGTCATGAAGAACTCGTCAGTCTTCGTCATTTTAGGAACCCTAAATTTACCAAGATCTTTATCTGAATCGTGCGTTTTCGCTTTGCTGCCTAGATAATTCATGGTATTTGCATCTTCAATAAAGAACTGGTAGAAGCAGTAAAAAACATCGTAATCTCTGAAGCCGGTGTAAAACTTGATAGCGTCGGTATCTTCAACAAAACGGAGGATACCGAAGCTTGATTCTAGTTTCTTCTTCATAAGAAGTCTTGATTTCAACAGCAATCCGTCAGCCTTCCTTCTTAAAGCAGACGTAGTTTGTGTAGGAGTGTCAAAATCGTCTTCTTGCAGCTGCGAGGCTTCACTGGAGGAATCGCTTTGGTAATTTTCTTCTTCGTCTTCTTTGCTCATTTCTATTTCTCCGCTTCTTAACAGGATGGATTCTGTGAGAAAAAAATATAAAAAAATTAGTAAATTTTAAAAACAAAATGCTTCTAATTCACCATCAAATGCATAAGTTTCTTTGTTTTGCATATTTGAGCTCAAATCAATCGTAGAATCGAAATTGAGTTTTCTTTTTCTGGGAACTACAGCCGGTGTGCACAGGAGGTTTGAATCTTGAACTTGGTGAGCCAAATCTACACAAAATCATTAAATACATAATTTGAGCATATGCACACAAAAATATTTTTTTCTTTACCATTTTCTGGAGTTCCAAATAATGTGAATGGAGGTGCTGGTGCAGGACTGCTGGTACAAAGCTGCTCTCCTTGTGAACTGCTGGTCGAGTCATCATTAGCACACAACGTCACAAAATCATCATTTTCATTAAGCTAAAGTCAAATTTATTAGTTTTCTTTTTTAAGTATATAATATGGTAAAAATACTATAACACAGATACGTGAGGACAATGGAGACATAGTAATAAATTATATTTTAGATTTACCTTTAAATTGCAAGAGCTCAGAAGTTGATTTACAGATTCTGTGTTGTTTTCTTCAGAGCATATTTGCAAATTAATTTCTTCTGAGCTGCTCTGTTGGACTTCACTAAATGATTCCAAAATCTGCATATGTTGGGAATGACGGCCCATGTCCTCTTCACATGGCCAAGATCTGGCCTCTGCATGATTTGGTTTTGGCAGAGGAGAGTCTTCCACCTTTTCAAAGCCCTGCGTCTGGTGGTTGGTACTGCCACTCACATCATTCTTTAGTTGGATGCAACCGGAGAACGCTTGAGGGACAGCGTCATCCTTGAGAAAAACTCTGTTGCCACTTCTGACAAAGTCCTCTTCTAAGAAATGATCGCTGCAAACAATCAAATTGCCAACATGAAGGACCATAAAGCCAGCATCCTTCACAGCTTTCGACCACAAAGATTTCTTTCTTTTTGTAGTTGCTCTGTGAAATGTGAGTCCACTGCAAATCCGTGAGTCTTGGAGACAAAGGCCGCACACTGAGTAACCCATGCTGAAGGAATTGGCAGAAATCAGAACATGAATAAAAACAAAAGTAGTGCACACTTACTCAATCCTATAATACAGGATAATCTAGAATTTGCAGCGGCTTGCGCCTCAAAATGTGTTTGTGAGTAACGCGCAGTTAATCATAACTGGAATGCGGAAACCAACAAGAGCAAGGCTGTTTCACAAAAGAGACAGGAACATACACAGACATTCCTTTGCCCTTCTTGCACAGACACTACTACTTCAAGAGAGCAAGAAAATCAATCAAAACTTCTGAACTATGCGCATCAAGAAGAAACGCGTTGATGCGCATGATTTAAAGTGGGCGGATAACGGCGCTGATTTTTAAAAATACTTATCCCATCATAGTCTTGTATGTATCTGAGCTGTGAGCACGTGGATCGTTCTGTAATGCAACTTACACAATACCTAAGAACCAAGAATGCGTTGCTGGAAGTGCTCGACTGAAATCACAGAAGAACATCTAGAGTGCGAATTATGTCCAGAAGCAATACATGAAGCTTGTTTGGACACGGAAGAAGCTGAAATTGTTCAATTGGAAGGCTTTTGGAGATGTTACTGCTGTACGGAAACTGTTGAAAAGTTTCAATCGGACCCCTCTGCTGCTGGTATGTAATTTTTCTTGAATATTATTGATTTTTAGAGTGCATACAATTTTTCAGCTCTGCAGACTATCTGGGACAGGATTGTTCCCAATGATAACTGGGGTGTTAATTTTCCCGTCGAAATTAATATTTCCCAAGAAGACATTGGAAATTCATATGAAAAATCCAGCAGACATCACAGAGAGGGATTCACTCTGTTCATGGAAGGACATGTAACCACATTGCAAACCTGCCTGCAAAATAAAACAGCATGGTTCAAGGCAGTAGTTGAAGCAACTCAGAAAACAAAACTAGGCTATAATGCATTTGTAGCATACAAACTTTATCCTGCAAATGAAGGCCGTCGAAGTAAGCGTATTTGGGGCTTATGCAACTGCCCTGCTGGCACTGATGGAATGTGCAAGCATTCCATTGCTCTTCAATACAAAATTTGGAGCTGTGCACAATTAGGGACAGAGGTTCTCGATGGCGATTTTGACACTCCAACTCCAACTGGTATTTTGAAAGATTCTTATAAAATAAAATTGTTAACAAATATTTCCCCATAGGCAAACTCCAACTATGGCATGCTATGAAGCCTACGAACGATGAGCCTCTGCTATTTTCAGAGATCAACTTTGTCAGGCATGACGAAAGCCGAGCCGGGAGATTTGTCCAGCCTCTTGGTGCAGAAATTGCTAGACACCAACTACTCCCTTCTGGACGTGCTACTTTACCATCTTCGAGGGTCATGGATCTTGCCTCAAGTTTACGGCGTGTTGGATTTGACCCTCCCGTTCTGAAAAACCTTGAAGCCAATGAGTACAAAACAAAAGCAAGCAGAATTTTAAGCAATGAGCAATCACAAGAAGTCCTGGTGGACAAACTGTTTGAGATAATGGAGAAAGCTAGTTACTCAAAAAGTATCGTTCCAAATAATGAGTACGAGCTAACATTTTTGAGAGACTTCATTTTAGTTGATTGGCCAAAGAGTAGAGAGATTGAGAGAAACACACGTTTCCAGAGTCAAAGCAAGCACTGGTACAAGGCTAGGCTCCACAGAATCACAGCGACTCAGGTTCACAGCCTCGCTAGTGAAAATGCTAGAACAGATGCATGGAAGAGGTTTGCGGGCAAAAGAAAGTTCTTCACCAGCTCCTCTGTCCAACATGGTATTCGTTTTGAAGAAGAGGCATTCCACAAGTTCCTCAATGTTGCAAACGACCGAGACTCACTGAAAATAGAAGCCCACTCATCCATTGGCCTTCTCGTCCATCCAAATTTCTCCTTTACAGGTGCCTCTCCTGACAGACTAATTTCCATCGACGGCGAGCTTTTCTTGGTTGAAATCAAATGTCCCTACAATCCCTTCATTCGTAAGAAGTCACTTAAACTGAAATTCAAAGATAAAGACTTTTACATTAATCTTGATAAGAATGGAAAGCCCTTTTTGAAAGAGAATCATCCATACTACAGTCAAATTCAAGCACAACTACTGATCTCAAATATTGAAAAAGCATTCCTTGTGCTTTTTGTTCCACCCATAGACATTGAATACTTTGTGATTTACAGAAATCATTCTTTCATCAACAGAAAGATGGATGTATTACATAAAGTGTACCAAGAAAACTTGCTTCCTCAATTTGTACAGGAAGTGTATCGCATCCAGCAATAAGAATAAAATTTTTCATTTGATGAACAAAACAAAATTATTGTGATTAGACTCATTTATTAGATGTTTCACAGGACCAGGTTAACTGGTCAAACCTTAGAATCTGTTTCACGGTTGAAGATATTTATACGGTACAAGAAATCAAATAAATAATATGTTATGAAATTTATCAAATAAAAAACAATAAACCAAAAAGGATTAATACTTTTCTTGCTGAAATTTATTTATAAACACTAGCTTCAAAAACAAACAAATGCTCAGTCCAACTTGTTTAACCAATGAAAATTAATTTTGAGCAAAAATCTTATATGAACATGTGAGGCGTCCAAAAAGACGGAGGGAGCATCAAGGGAATTTTGGCCAAAAAAATTTTAATTTGTTTAATAATACTTGGCACAGCGGTTGGGGAGCAGAGTTGGAAGGGGTGAGGCAGGGAGTGAGTCCCAATGTGAGACACAGTCGACTTGCCGAGGATGAGTGGAGCGCCGCCTGGCACGGAGCGGCTCGAAATTTTGGGACGAGGTCTCTTTCCGACTTTCTTTCATCCGAGAAATTCAATTTTTGGCAAATCAATTGCAAAAACCACTGGGGCGCCCATCCTCTGCAGTCAGCCTGGAAAAAGAAATTCACAGTTAAAAAAAAGAAACACCGACTTTACTTGCCAAAATTGAAACCAGTGGCAAAATACGAAGGGAGCATCAAGGGATTTTTGGTCAAAGAAATTTTGATTAGTTTAATAATGCTTGGCACAGCGGTTGGGGAGCAGAGTTGGAAGGGGTGAGGCAGGGAGTGAGTTAGTTAATTACCCAATGTGAGACACAGTCGACTTGCCGAGGATGAGTGGAGCGCCGCCTGGCACAGAGCGGCTCGAAATTTTGGGACGAGTGCTCTTTCCGACTTTCTTTCATCCGAGAAATTCAATTTTTGGCAAATCAATTGCAAAAACCACTGGGGCGCCCATCCACTGCAGTCAGCCTGGAAAAAGAAATTCACAGTTAAAAAAAAGAAACACCGACTTTACGTGCCAAAATTGAAAGCAGTGGTAAAATACGAAGGGAGCATCAAGGGATTTTTGGTCAAAGAAATTTTGATTAGTTTAATAATGCTTGGCACGGCGGTTGGGGAGCAGAGTTGGAAGGGGTGAGGCAGGGAGTGAGTTAGTTAATTACCCAATGTGAGACACAGTCGACTTGCCGAGGATGAGTGGAGCGCCGCCTGGCACGGAGCGGCTCGAAATTTTGGGACGAGTGCTCTTTCCGACTTTCTTTCATCCGAGAAATTCAATTTTTGGCAAATCAATTGCAAAAACCACTGGGGCGCCCATCCACTGCAGTCAGCCTGGAAAAAGAAATTCACAGTTAAAAAAAAGAAACACCGTCTTTACGTGCCAAAATTGAAAGCAGTGGTAAAATACGAAGGGAGCATCAAGGGATTTTTGGTCAAAGAAATTTTGATTAGTTTAATAATGCTTGGCACAGCGGTTGGGGAGCAGAGTTGGAAGGGGTGAGGCAGGGAGTGAGTTAGTTAATTACCCAATGTGAGACACAGTCGACTTGCCGAGGATGAGTGGAGCGCCGCCTGGCACAGAGCGGCTCGAAATTTTGGGACGAGTGCTCTTTCCGACTTTCTTTCATCCGAGAAATTCAATTTTTGGCAAATCAATTGCAAAAACCACTGGGGCGCCCATCCACTGCAGTCAGCCTGGAAAAAGAAATTCACAGTTAAAAAAAAGAAACACCGACTTTACGTGCCAAAATTGAAAGCAGTGGTAAAATACGATGGGAGCATCAAGGGATTTTTGGTCAAAGAAATTTTGATTAGTTTAATAATGCTTGGCACGGCGGTTGGGGAGCAGAGTTGGAAGGGGTGAGGCAGGGAGTGAGTTAGTTAATTACCCAATGTGAGACACAGTCGACTTGCCGAGGATGAGTGGAGCGCCGCCTGGCACGGAGCGGCTCGAAATTTTGGGACGAGTGCTCTTTCCGACTTTCTTTCATCCGAGAAATTCAATTTTTGGCAAATCAATTGCAAAAACCACTGGGGCGCCCATCCACTGCAGTCAGCCTGGAAAAAGAAATTCACAGTTAAAAAAAAGAAACACCGTCTTTACGTGCCAAAATTGAAAGCAGTGGTAAAATACGAAGGGAGCATCAAGGGATTTTTGGTCAAAGAAATTTTGATTAGTTTAATAATGCTTGGCACAGCGGTTGGGGAGCAGAGTTGGAAGGGGTGAGGCAGGGAGTGAGTTAGTTAATTACCCAATGTGAGACACAGTCGACTTGCCGAGGATGAGTGGAGCGCCGCCTGGCACAGAGCGGCTCGAAATTTTGGGACGAGTGCTCTTTCCGACTTTCTTTCATCCGAGAAATTCAATTTTTGGCAAATCAATTGCAAAAACCACTGGGGCGCCCATCCACTGCAGTCAGCCTGGAAAAAGAAATTCACAGTTAAAAAAAAGAAACACCGACTTTACGTGCCAAAATTGAAAGCAGTGGTAAAATACGATGGGAGCATCAAGGGATTTTTGGTCAAAGAAATTTTGATTAGTTTAATAATGCTTGGCACGGCGGTTGGGGAGCAGAGTTGGAAGGGGTGAGGCAGGGAGTGAGTTAGTTAATTACCCAATGTGAGACACAGTCGACTTGCCGAGGATGAGTGGAGCGCCGCCTGGCACGGAGCGGCTCGAAATTTTGGGACGAGTGCTCTTTCCGACTTTCTTTCATCCGAGAAATTCAATTTTTGGCAAATCAATTGCAAAAACCACTGGGGCGCCCATCCACTGCAGTCAGCCTGGAAAAAGAAATTCACAGTTAAAAAAAAAGAAACACCGACTTTACGTGCCAAAATTCAAACCAGTGTTTAAAGGCGAAGGGCACATCAAGAGACTTTGTACAAAAAATTTTATTGTCAAAAGTTGAAGGATGGATTCAGAGATTTGTTCAAGATATCAAATTTTTATTCCATAAACATACTGGTTGGATTGGGTGGGCAGAGGTAGTTGGATGGTAGGCTGCGAGAGTCGAAAGGGCTTCACTCGGGGCAAATTTATCTTACCGACAGTTAGTAAGATCAAGGACGAGTGCATTGCAGCAGCCTTCTCTTATGTCCGATACTCTTTGCTGGCAGGAACATAACTTCTGGTCCAACACTCATGTGCACAGTCGTCACACAATTAAATCGCTCTCGTGCGGAGGCCTGAAAGAAGAAATCGAGAATGAGGAACTAACTTTTAATGAAGATAAACTTTAATCGCAAAAGACAATATGTACATTTTACATTTGACCCCCTTCAAGTTTAATTAATACAACACATATTAACTCAATTATAATCACGCGCTTATTCTTTTTTATTAAAGTAAATTGCACCATTCTGTTTATGTATGCATATTAAGGCAACCACATGGCGAATGGCGACGGGTGATAAAAAGTTTGTTTGATGAGATCAGCAGAATCGCAAGTAAAACCACGACAAAATATGCAACGAGAAAGTGTAAGAATGGGTTTGTAGCTCACAATTCAAAATCGGAACACCAAGAAATAATCTTTGCTTGCGCCTTATTCCGCCCGTTCACCCTCTGGCTGAGTCTTTGCGTTGCGAATATTAATGTGTGCCTCGTGTACACGAACCATTTCTCGTTTGTCGCTTTTTGTCGACTCTAGCCGGGTCGGCGATTCGATTTGGCTTTTAAGCGTAAAGACCATGCAGTGCTGGTGTAAACTTACTCGTGAAAAATGACGGGAAAGTTGAGTCACACTCTAAAAATGAGCGGTCGCGTCGCCGGTCGCTGTTTTCATTTTCTTCAGCCAGCTGGTTCAGTTCAGTGAAGCTAGCACCAGTAGCAAAACCACACTTTCGGCCAACGCCGTAAGTCGCTGACGCATGCGCCTGCGAGGCACTCCGGCAGAAGCCGATCTGCCCAACATTTGGCTGCTTTTCGACATCCCCACGCTCCACCGCGGTGCGATGCAACAACTGTAAACTCTCACAGGTTTCATCGGCCACCACCAGTTACTGCCCCTAAGGTATCCATGACGTATTCAGTTAGCTATACTCGTTTTAGTCACCGGGATCCGCATTTCTGACAAAGTGCAAAAAGTTCGAAAGACAGCCACCAACGCTCTAGCGCCAGGGCTGCGCACTTCCCCTATTGTGATCGCGACCTGATATATCAAGGACTTGATAATTTGAGGGATTGCTGCCGAACTTTTAACTTAAGTTCGCATTTTAATATTACTTTGTATCCAAAATTTATTAGAGCAATAATTTTTGGCTTCAGTTCGTGGTTTTCGTTAACAATATTTCGGAAAATCAAGGAAAATAATTGTTGTAGTCGTAAAAGCTTGCAAAATTGAAAAATCATATATTGAATCGCACATATTTCAGTTGATTTCAATCATTTGTTCATAGTTTTACACTTTTAAGCTGCCCTACGAATTGTCAGGATTTTTCCAATTGAGTAAAATATTTTCATTTAATTCTAAATCACCTGGAAAAAACGAAATAAAATTTTAATATTTTTAATCACTTTTAATCGGAGGTGCTGCCACCTGGGTAGAAAGCCATTTATGAAAAGTATTGAACTCTAATTTTGATTTTTTTTAATGAACAAAAATAAAATAATTTTTATATATTTGAATTATTTACTTAATTATTTTAAATATTTTTTTTGTCAATCGTCATGCAATTTTTTTTTAATAATATCTAAAAATGTAAGCTAAAATTTAAGAATTTTTTTCATCTCCTTTTCCTTATACTCAAAATAATACGGCAATAATTTCGCTATTAAACATGCTTAAATTATGTAATATTTTATTCCATTGCAGAAAGCCCGCCGAGTGTTCGACCCGTCGGACAACAACATGCCCAAATCAAAGCTCGGCAAGCGCCAAGCCATGCTGCTCCCAATGCCCCAAGTGACAGTGGCGCTCGGCAGACCACCGAAAATTCCCAGACAAGATCCGCCGAGTTCTCCAAGCGCCTCCAACAAGTCAAGTCCGGAAAAGACTCCCCAGAAGGACTACATTCCAGTGAGTCCTCCAAACTCAACTCCTTCGACAACTCCAACCAAGCAGGTCGGAGGATGTGTCATTTGCCTTAAAGACACGTCCAGCAAAACCCTTCGATTGATTAATTGCAAGATGAAGAACTGCACCAACCAGGGTATTTCTTTTCCCAAGCAATTATATTGAAAATTTGCTAATTTATAAAATTCCAGTTCATCCTCTTTGCCTGAGAACCATGCCCGACATAACGGCAGAGGCGCCCATGAAACATGCCCTGAAGTGGCGTTGTTTGCAGTGCCGAAAGTGCACCATCTGCACCAAAAAGAGAGATCTGAAAATGGTAAAATTAACAAATTAAATCTGATGGCAAGCAAAATTAATTTAATTCTCAAAATTTTTACAGTACCCAAATGAGTGGATGGTGGTGTGCAGTGCATGCGACGAAACCTTCCATGCTACATGCCATTCACCAGCTTTACTTCGGAAACCCACCAGCAAGTGGAACTGCTACAGATGCACCGTGGACAGGGCTGTTGCTGCTGGTTGTAAAACTGTTGTCTATGCAGACGCTCCTCCTCTCATCATTGACATGCCTAAAGGTTAGTCCTACAATTTAAATACAGAATAAAATGGTTATGAATTTATTTTATGTTGCAGAACCTGAACCTGTGGTTGTTGACGAAGAGAACAAAGCAATTCCTGACGAGATTGGCGATGTGGTGGAGTGGACTGCCTCGGATCTTGCCACATACTTCAAAGACAAGGGTTTCCACGACGAAGCCAAAATCATGGAGGAGCAAGAAGTAGATGGAAAGAGTCTCCTCCTCATGTCTCGATTGGACGTCTTACGAGGACTCAAGCTCAAACTTGGACCTGCTCTCCGCATGTACACAAACCACGTCCAGCCAATGAAAGAGATTTTCTTTAAAGTGTGACCATTTTAAAGCAATGATTTTCAAACGAATAAAGTTACACGCATGTTTTCTCCAGATAACATCAACAATTTTATTTTGAAACAAGCCTTGAGTATCACTATATAGGAATACTAAATTTAATTGTTGAGATCACAAAATTAGTTGATATTTTCCTTAAATCGAAAAATCAATACTTCGGAATAAATATATGTATCTGAATATTTAAATGAATATTGGTGTTAAAATCACACCTTGCCTTTTCAATATGTAATTCTTTAAGTGAAGATAAGCGGAGCCCCCCAAAATATCTTCTCTATATCTATTGATTTTGTGGAATTGCGAAATCATTTCAGCCTAATCTATCCCTATCTATATTTTCTAGGGCTATGAATAGACAGATCAAAATTAGGTAAGTTGAGTGAGAGGGAAAACATTACATCAGGAGATGCATACCATTAGCATTTTTAAAACATTTAATGTTGAATAAAGGGGATAGGAGAAACCTCGAGACAAGCAAATCTCCTTGCGTTTTGTTTAAATTACTGAGCCTGCTTACAATTTAGCTGGAAGTAGATTGACGCCCTCCTACATCTAGCTAGTCTATAAAGCCTTTCTTGGATTTTAATATGCTTCAACAGAACCCTGAATTATTTGATATTATTTAAACCCTAATAATCAAAAATTCCCATTAGGGTGAATTCGCAACTGTCTCACTTCATCATTACCAGAGCCCAAATTCAGAAAGCTCTATAAAATGGCAATTAAATTAAGCCACAGGCTCTTTCTTGGATGGCAAATCATCAGCCTCTTCATCGAGGAGCAACAGAGCCTCTTTTTCCTCCAGAATCGCTGCCATTTTCATTGGCTCATAGCAGAGCCACCCAGCCAAAAGGCCCGTGGCCAAGCCCAGCAAGCCAAAGAACCATTTGGGCAGACCGTACTTGTTAGAGAGACATCCAAGAATATCTGATGGAGGCTGTGGAGTGTGTCGTGGAGGTTTCGGAGGCTCCTGCTGTTGTACAAGCAGAACCGAGTCCTTGGACTCTTGTGATGAAAATAGAAGGGCAAATCGAGCTCGGCCAAGCATCGAAGATAACAACGGACCCAAGGATGCCAAATCCCTGGCACTCTCCTGCAGGACTTCCTGTCTCAACCGCTCTTCGGCCCTGGCTGTATCACGCGCCATGTGGGCACAGCCCTGATGACAGGCGTATCGCTCTTTGGTGTGCCGATATGCTTCCATGCATGCTGAATTTTTGCAATTGTTAAGTAAAATTTCCAAACAGTAATAAAATTTTCCCTCACAAGATTGACATGTTTCTTTAGTGGTGTTGACACGAAGGTGCTGCTGCAAGTCCAAGCCCTCGAGCACAGCCTCAATACCTCCTTCTCCATTGGCACTGCTCACCAATTCGTAGAAGCGACACCCTCTCTGACAGGCATCACTCAACCTAGCAACCTGTGTATAATTTTTATTGAAAATCGTAGAGCAAAGGCATTGAAAAATTTACCGCGTTCTCATTAAATTGGTGCAGGCAAGACTGTCCACAGTTAGTTTCGGGGGTAGTTTCTGGTAAGCTTATGGATGCAACCGCAGTTGCAAGAAGGGAAAATAAAAATACCAAATTCTTGTGACACACCATTTTTAGAATTTGTTATTTCCTTTAAAAAATTAACGCCTCATTTCGTGCGACTGCTCCTTGTTTTGATACTTATTGATCTGCCGTCTGCTGGGCTCAACACATCTGCCTGCTGCTTGCGCTCACTTTTCTGTCGCTAGGACTGCCAACCTAACCCTGTTGTTGGGGGTGGCTTTTCTCTGGGGGGTGTGATCTTATGTTCACCAAGGCAGTAACAGGCTAAAATACGTCTTTGAATTTTATTTGGAGAATAGAGCATGCTTTTTTTTAATTCACTTAAAATTTAATAACACAATAATTATCCAATTGAGTAAAATAATTAAATTTAATAACTATTATTAAATCAAAATTTTTATGAAAAATGTGAAATTGTGACAATTATGATTTTGATTTCCTTATAATTGATTAATTTTCATTATTACATATTATTTTTTTATTGATCTCATACCTTTAACAACTAGATGCATTTTCAACACACAATAATAATACAGGGATCAATCAACAGCTACTGGACTAGGTGTCTGGGCACCGTGTGTGTTGGATTTGCTGTCGAGGGGCTCCACTTTCGGCAGCTGCAGCCGTTTCTTCACAAATGTGCACCACTATGCCTGGCTGGCCACCTGAGGGCGGGTGCAGTTCATGTGTCTCGCCTGCAAAGTTAAGACAAAAAATTAGCATCTTTGCCACAAATCACCTCAATTGTTCGAGATTTTTACCCCGACAACTATAAAAAACAAAATTTAAGGCTTACCCGGAGAGAGATTTGCAATGGCAGCAAGCAAGTCATAGTTGACCAAGGGGTCAGATTCGCCTTTTTGCTCCCAACCATACGGGGGCGACGCAGGGGGTGAGATCAGGAACTGTTTGGTCAGCGCAGGAGGCTGCAGGTGCTGATCCTCTAGGTCGATTGGCGACACCGGCTGTGCAAAGTAGCAGTTGATGGTGCTGCAGCCCACCTTGGCCTGGTGCAATTCAATGCGCGCCCTCGCTGCTGACGCTGGACTTTTGAAGTTGACCCTCATCCTGCAGAAACTGCGGAAGTACTGGAACGAGACCGTTTCTCCATACTGATTGAATAGGCTCTCGATGATGTGCTGCAAGAATTAAAGAGGAATTAAGTATGGTATTAAATTTCAAATAATTCAGTGCACAAAGGTTTCAAAATTCCCTCCGAGTTGCGAAATGATAAATAATCAACTAAATTTAGTTCAAATTGGCATTGTGACGCTGGCATGAGTTAAACAAGCCATAGAAATGTGAGTATGATTCTGAAGAGACTGCTGCATTTGATGCAATGGAGTGGAAGAATAGAGTGTGTTAATAATATAATATCACAAGAAAAATAATTAATGATGATGCCTGCTTTTATAAAGGCGTGGATAAAAATAGGATTTGGCGGGGCGCCCTTTGGATTTGAAAACTACTTATTGCAAAAGAGTGGCAATATTTTCCAAAAAAGTGTAAAACTGTGATAATTTACCACAAAATTTTAAATTTAAAGAGTTAAGTTTTGCAGGTGTCCCAGAACAATATTCCTGTCCCCCAAGTCTAGAAGAGTCCATCAACGATCAAGGGAAATGGGTCACGAGTGGGCGACCGACAAAGGGCCGGGTGTCGACCTGGTTTTTACCTTTTCTTCGTCGCTCTTGAAAACCTGCGAGTTGAGATTAGTCACAATGAGCGAGTTAGGCAGCTCGTCGTCGTGGATGACGTTGTCGACGCCTAGGACGTCTTCCTGGTCGTGCTGCTCAAAGTTGGGGTGCGCGTTTGGCAGGCCGTCGGCTGCGTTGATGATGATGTCGGCTTCCATGGCCGATGCCGACTCTTCGCCCGCCATCTGTGAGTTGCCGACAAGTCGCCTACAACACCATCGGCCCCGATTGTCAACGCCGACCCCGCACGCAACGTCTTGCAGCGAAGAGGAGACCCTTTTGTTTATTGACAGCCACGCCCCTTTGTGCCCGTGACGTCATCCCTATTCATGACGTCAACGCACCATCCAATCCTGATCCAATCGTTCCTTGCGCCTTTAATTTTTAAGTCATTTTCCTGCTCATTAATAAAAGAGTTGTAATTTATCTCTATTAATAAAAGAGTTGTAATTTGAAACTCATTTTAAATAAATGTCCATTAAAACAACTTTAATAAATATGTTAGCTAACAAATTAGCAATTAAAATATGTAGATTTCCGAGAGATGATGGCAAAGAAAAGATTTTATCATATTTTTCATTTTCAGGTATCAATAATAAATTATGCACTTAAATTATTACCAGGATTTTTTTTTATTGTTTTAAAAAAAAATTAATTAATGTTTCTTCAGCTGCAAAAACTTTAAAAAAATCTACCAGGAAATTTAATGCTTTTGTAATAAAGAAATAAATTAAAAAAATTTCACATTATTTATGTGTATAAAAAAACCAAAGGATATAACTCATCAGCATTTGATATAAAAAAGCTGATTATGCAGCAAAATCTAAAAATGTATGACACTCAGTCAAATAAATTTAATTTAAGGCGATGCAATGCAGCGCAAGCCTAGCGAAAAAACAAAAGTTTTTTAAACTACGATGCTAAAAATAATTATATTTAATATTTAATTAATATATTAAAAATATTTCTGTGTAAAACTATGTTCTAATTTTCAATTTACCTCAAATTAGAAAAAGTGAATTTGTATAAAATCTCTGATAAATCCGATTTAGGATAAATGAGAAAAAGCCGATTTAAAATAAATTAAAAAATGCCTACTTGAGTAATATTTGAAAAAGCAGATTAATGTTAAATTTGAAAAAGTGAATTTGCAATAAATCTGATAAAGCTAATTTAGGGGGAAATATAAAAAGCCAATTTGAGATGATTTGAATTTAAAAAAGCAAATTAATGTCGGAAAAAATTTATTAATGTTTCTTCAGCTGCAAAAACAAGTGCAAAAACTTTAAAAAAATCTACCAGGAAATTTAATGCTTTTGTAATAAAGATATAAATTTAAAAATTTTCACAATAATTATGTGTATAAAAAAACAAAAGGATACTCATCAGCATTTGATATAAAAAAGCTGATTATACCGGATTATACAGCAAAATCTAAAAATGTATGACACTCAATCAAATAAATTTATTTTAAGGCGATGCAATGCAGCGCAAGCCTAGCGAAACAACAAAAGTTTTTTAAACTACGATGCTAAAAATAATTAAATTTATTATTTAATTAATATATTAAAAATATTTCTGTGTAAAACTATGTTCTAATTTTCAAAATTTCCTTTTATTTTCTTAATCTACGAAAACGTACAATAATACGTTTTGCATATTCTGATATAATTTATGCTGATTGATGCTGATAAATGAAAGAAAAAAAAAGAAAAATTTGAAAATTAGCTATACGCTATACATAATTAATATAGTTTTATACAAATATTATAATTATTTTCAATTCTTTTTTCATGTGACTCATGACTCGCTATAAAATTAAACTCAAAATAGTTTAAATTTATCGCTTAATTAATTGCTTTAAAATTTTTATGGCCCAGCTCAATGTTAGATAAAAGATAGGCCTGGGCCCAAGGTCATCTAGACAGTCCCGCCCCTTCACCCCTCTCTACTCTCCCTACTCTGAACACTTTCAAATCGGCTCAATCGGCTGTCGGGTGGTAAAAAGCAAAGTTGTCACATGGCAATGTTTACCCTGCGAATTCAGCTTGATCTGCTTGATTCGGCCCGAAAATGGAGACTTCTGTTCGGATGACGGTTTGCGACTTTTACCTGTCGCCGCCGAAGGCTGGATTCGACCCGTTGTTCAGTGAATTCACAGGAAACGCCATCTCGCAGGTGCCTGTTATGAGAGTTTTCGGCTGCAGTAATACAGGTATTCGTACGGTTGATTTTGAACTTTGAACGAATTTCATCATGTTGCATCAAAACACAGGAGTGAAGGCATGTCTGCATATCCATGGAGTGTTCCCGTACCTGTACGTTCCGTTTGAAGGCAGCGACAACCCTCAACAACTGCAATATTTGCTTGCAAATGCGCTGGACAAAGCGTTAAACATTTCTCTAGGACAGGCAAATTCAGCCATAAGGCACATTTTCAAGATTGTTCTTGTATCTGGATTGTAAGTAATACATAAAAACTACAAAGACCATTGAAAGAAATTAATTCAAAATTTATATTTTAATAAAATATTGCCAATTAAATTTATTGTACAATTTATTTTGTAATTTGTAATTTTAGGCCGTACTATGGCTACCATGAGAGGGAGCACCAGTTTTTAAAAATCTATTTGTGCAACCCAAACTTGGTCAAGACAGTGGCGGATTTGCTGCAGAACGGCACAATCCTGGGCAGAACTTTCCAGCCTCACGAGGCCCACTTATCTTTCACACTCCAATTCATGATTGATTACAATTTGCAAGGCATGGACTTGGTGAATTGTGCCAAAGTCTACCCAAGGAGAGACCCTGAAGCTGTAGTTGACAGAGACCAATTTCTTCAACTTGCAAAGGTTAGCTCGTGTGAGTTTGAGGCTGATGTCCTGGCTGAAGACATTATGAACAGGCTCAACAACTGCTCAAGTTAGTTTCATATTGAAAAATTGATTAGTAACTAAATTTTTATTATTCCGGATTGTTCCAAAATTTATAGGTCAAGGTGTTGTGAATCCTGGACTGACTGCCCTGTGGGAAGATGAGCACGAAAGGCGAAGGATACAAGGGAGGGAAACACAACCAACTCCTCTAGCAACACAAAAGCGGAAACCTGCTGGGCCGAGTACTAGTGAGGAATTTCACAGATGCAGATTATTTGAGAAACTGGCTACTGTGGTATGTTTTTATTGTAAATTAATGAAAATTTTCTTGATTCATTCCAAATTAAGGGAGAGGATAGCATATCCAGCACTCAAAGTTCTGTTCACTACCCAGTTGAAGCACCTGAAGGTCTGATGAATGCGTCTTATGTTGAGCACCACGGCAGCAGACAGAATACATCAGCAACAACAAATGAAAGCAATAATTCTTCTCTGGATCTAGATGCAAGCCTAAATCTCAGTAGATATATTAAACTTATTTATGAACTGTCCTTGAATTAAAGTATTCACAGTGGACACACAAGATGAGGAACTTCTATTTATTTTTGAAGCTTTAGCTAATTCTCAGATAGGGGAAGATGTATGTGCAAACGAGGAACAAAATGTTCAAGGAGACCAAGGTTTGCGACATTTTAATTTATATCCTGAAAAATACAGTTTTTACTCAGCAGGCTTTGATGGTGATAATGATGGTGATGAAGACGTGCAAGAATCCTTGGAGATGTCTCAACCGTTGAATTCTACGTTGATTGCTGTCAGTTCCGAGGAAAGTGATACTGATGGAGGCTCTATGTAAAACTTCAAATATCATTGTATTAAAGTTTTGACATATTTAAATCATTTGCAGTGATATTGATATTTTTGAGGAGTATGAGGGAGCAAAACTGCCCCAGCAGGATGGTGCTGATGACGATGGAAAAATGAAGACTGCTCCAAAAAGAAAGAGACTAGGAACTCGCAGAACAGTGCCAAAAAGTACATCAACTGTTACTAACATTGGAAGTGATACCCTGCTACTAGAGAAAGTCGGAATCACTCCTCAGATACCTAAAAATGCTTTAGGGCCAACAGAAGCAGAGGAATTAGCAATTCCTGAAGTCCAAATTGCTATGGAGAAATTAGAAGAAAGAGAAAAATCTGCCACCTCAAGTGATTCAGTCCAAACTCAGGAATCGTCAGGGTATAATATTAGTAAAAACAAGCAATTTAAATGTTTTAATTTGTCTTTTTGAAATACAGATTAATGATATCAGTAACAAAGAAGCAGCTTGGTACTGCAGGAAACCGCAACCGTACTACTTTTAGTGTCACTTTTCCTGAAGATGCTATCATAAACACCGAAACCATTGAGATTGGTGGAAGAAGTGGCAAATTGAGCTTAAGCTTTGAAATGAGTGAGGAAAGTGACACCAGAGACCACTTGCACCAAAGCGAATTAGATGAAGCGGAGCCAGAAGAAATAAAATTGAAGCCATGTTTCGTCAAGTTGGAAAGGCTCAATGCTTCATTACTGGCAGAGGCACAAGAAGTGAAAGAAGAGTGTACAGTCAGAGACACAAAATCTCAAGAAGATCAACCACAAGACGAAAAATACACTTCTGAGGAGAAAAGGGATGTGAAAATGGAGGTAGAGTTTTGTATGCTTTAATATCAATGTGTTTAAGAATTTAAACTCTAGGATATTGATGTCAATGTAAAGAGTGACAATGAAGAACTTTACTTTTCCTGCGGATCATCCACATCTTCGCAGCAAACGCCTAACAAGCGGAAACACAAACTTCTGTCTCTTAGTCCGAATCTTAGTAAAGAGGATCAACGTTTGAAGAGGCAACGTCGTAAGGAGTTTCGGTCTCAGTTGAGAGGTTTGTCGATGGAAAAAATTTAGATTTAAATATAATTATATATTTCTTGCAGACAAGTCCGTGAGTGATTTAAGTTTGCTGATGCAGTCCTCCCAGTCAAAAAACTCCAGAGGCCCTGAAAAAAAAGGGCCAGACAAGCCATCCACTTCGAGCTTCATAAATGAATCTGAAGATTTTTCAGCTATGAAGAGCTTTTACAACCTTACAGTGCCTCCTGCTTCTATACTCATTGAACCTAAAGAACCACCTCCTAAAACATTAGAACTTGCAGAGTATGGTCTTCAAGCCATTAAATTCCAACCTCCGTTTTTTAGTGAACCTCGAGACGGAAACTTGCCTCTCTCCACAGCTCCGTGTCACTTGCCCCCATTCAACAGCGGCTGGTATGAGCCACAAATTCAAGGATTGCAAAGCAATACAAAGAACTTGAAGAGGACTGTCCTTATTGAACCATTACTTCCCCCACCAAAGGCTATAGATTTAATATCGACTGCGACAGTAGAAAGAGAGGAGCCTAAGGTGCCTGAGATGCAGAACCTACAGCAAGCAAGAGCTGTGGTCCACGTAAGAAAATTTGAATCTCGTCACTCCGAAATTTAATATTCATCTAAAATTTAGGACAATCACCTAAAAGTCATGCACTTGGAGATTCTGGCTGCCAGCAGAGGAAAATTAAAAGCAGATCCGGAGTTTGATCCTATTTGTGCTTTGTACGTCCTCATCCATGGAGACAGAGGCCCTTTTAGCTCCATGGGCCTGATTGCCATTAAGTCTGAAACTTGCCCACCTGAGTGCCTTTTGTCTCCTGAATTTCAAAAGCAGTGTGGTATTTTGGAAGTTGTGCCTAGTGAAGAGGAAGCCTTTTCTAGACTGGTAAAGCTTGTGCTGTCTGAGAATCCTGATATACTCATGGGATACGAGGTAAAAACTCTTGAAATATTCCGACGGGCGTCTCATGATTTTATATTTTTAGATTGAGATGGATTCTTGGGGATACTTGGTTCAAAGAGCAGCAAGGTTGGGACTTAATCTTCCCAACATCATTTCAAGAGTCCCAAAGACCAAGACTAACGAAGTTCGTCAAATGGACATGTCCCAAGGGGCCATAGTTGAGTATTCTGATCTCAAAATTCCTGGGCGAATTGTGCTCAACTTGTGGAGGATTATGAGGAATGAGGTAGTATTATAATGCTCTAGTATACTTTTTTATCATATCATTTTCTTTAGATTGCCTTGCAAAACTACTCACTTGAAAGTGTGACTTATCACTTGCTCAAGCAGCGCATTCCCCAGCATCCTGCTTCTTTGCTCCTCTCATGGTGGTCTGAGGTCAGACGTTGCTTCCTAGTTTCGAACCACCTGCTCACCCGTTTGCTAGCCAGTCACCGTCTTCTCGACAACCTCGACTTCCTAGGGCGCACTTCTGAACTGGCCAAGCTCTTTGGAATCCAGTTTTCTGAAGTTCTGTCACGAGGATCGCAGTTTCGAGTGGAGTCAATGATGCTCAGACTGGCTAAACCAAGAAATTTTGTAGCTGTTTCTCCCAGTATTACACAAAAAGCCATGATGAAAGCGCCAGAATGCATTCCTCTGGTGATGGAACCTCAGTCTGTGTTTTATGAAGACCCTGTTGCTGTACTTGATTTTCAATCATTGTACCCGTCCGTCATCATAGCTCACAACCTCTGCTTTTCAACCTGCCTTGGAAGAGTAGAACATATTGGCAAAGAGGATCCTTTTGAGTTTGGCTGCACAATTTTGAAAGTAAAATTTTAATCCAATGTGTAAAATGTAAAATATCTATGAAATATTTTTCTTGCAGGTTGATCCTAGGAAAGTTCAAAAGCTGCAGCCCTTTGTCAGTCCAAATGGAGTGGCGTTTGTGTCCAGGGATGTTCGGCAAGGAGTTTTACCAGCAATGCTGAATGAAATATTGGAAACCCGTTTGATGGTGAAACAAGCGCTGAAATTCAACAAAAAGGACGAGGTCCTTGCCAAAGTCTTGCATGCCCGACAATTGGGCCTCAAACTTATTGCCAACGTCACATACGGCTACACGGCTGCTAACTTTTCTGGCAGAATGCCTTGCATTGAGGTTGGAGACTCTGTGGTTTCAAAGGGTCGAGAGATCCTGGAGCGTGCAATCCGCATGGTCAACCCTAATCAACACATTTGGGGAGGAGAAGTTGTTTACGGAGACACAGATTCTATGTTCGTTCTATTTAGAGGAAAAACCAGAGAAGAAGCTTTCGACATAGCAGAGCAAATCGCTGAAACTGTCACTGCAGACAACCCGAGCCCAATCAAACTGAAAATGGAGAAAGTCTACCAGCCATGCATTTTACAAGTAAGTGGTTTTTATTAAAATAAAATAAATATTCTAAAATCCGTAACATATTTCAGACCAAAAAGCGGTACGTTGGTTTCATGTATGAGACCAAGAACCAGGAAGAGCCTGTGTATGAAGCAAAAGGCATTGAAACTGTACGCAGAGATGGATGCCCGGCGGTGTCAAAAGTAAGTAGACTTAAAATTTATAAATTATAATAATAATTTAAAATTGTTTTCGATAGCTTTTGAAACAGTGTCTTCACATTCTGTTTACTACAAAAGACCTGAGCCAAGTGAAAAGCCACGCCATAAACTACTTTCAACGCGTTTTGCTTGGCACCGTTTCCATGCAGGACTTCATCTTTGCCAAAGAATTCCGTGGCTTTGCAGGATACCGTCCTGGTGCTTGTGTTCCTGCCCTAGAACTTGCCCGTCAATGGGTCCGAACAGACCGGCGGGCTGAGCCAAGACGAAACGAGCGAGTGCCTTATGTGATTGTGTCGGGTGCACCTGGTCTGCCACTGATCCGCCTTGTCCGCAGCCCATACCAGCTGCTGGAAGACCCAGCCCTCAGACTGAATGCAGATTACTACCTCACTAGAGCCCTAGTGCCCCCCTTGGCTCGGTGCTTCAATCTTCTTGGCGTCGATGTTGCCTCCTGGTTGGCAGAAATGCCCAGACGCACCGTGGTTGGCCCCACAGGCAAAGGCTCAATTGCTCACTTCTTTGGCAGCAGCGAGTGCCCACTTTGCAGAAGCCAAACTAGAAAAGGACTCTGCAAAGAGTGCAAGAAGAAGCCTCAGAGAGCTGCCATTCAACTGGGAGAGATAATCCGGGTGAGAGAAAGAGCAAGACAGGCTGCAGACACCCTTTGCAGCTCATGTTGTGGTCGTCAGTTTGATTTGGATTGTGGCAGTCTTGCTTGTCCTGTTATGTACTACAGGCGAAGGGTAATGCTAGATGTTGGCATTGAATCCCTCAGGCAGAGCATCCGTGATTTGAGTTTTTAGAAGATTGTCCCATACCACCCATTTTTATTTTGATAAAGAGAAATGGAAATCTGTTTTGATTTTTTTGTATGTAATGTTCCTATATCCTGAATAGGCACAATTGTATTCTGATACAAAACAGATGAATCATTCCAAAACTATTATTTTATATAATATGCAGTTGCCCTTCTAAAAGGCTAAATGATCAAGATTATAGGTATGCACAAATGGAAAGTACAATAAAACAAAGAATTTATGTTCTTGTGTTCATGTCATTAATTGTGGTATTATTTCGTCTCATGTACATGGATACCGAGATTTTTATCTGTATGATAGTAATTGATGTGGTTTTCTTTATTGTTCTCATCGTTGAGTAATTATTACACAGACACATGGATATAGAATCATTTTCTATTCCTCAGCAACTATAATTTTTCAACTGATGGAGAGAGAGACACTGACTAAGTGGCTATTTATGCTTTTTTTATGCGCACACACTATTCAACATGGGATAGATCCATCTTTAGTCAATCAATCATCATTATAATTTGCGTATAATTCAAGAGAGTTAAAATGGCTATGATCAATATATACTTTGTAATTGTTATTAATTATGTATTTATATATCATTATATTTTACAAAAGTCTTCGTCAAACAAGAGGAATCGCTTGTTAAATTGGTTTGGTGCTTCGCTTATATACAGACAGGACAATAACAACAACAACAACGGTACCGTACGATTTTAATTGGAATGCAAGAAACACCGTCATATATGTTTTCCTCTTTCTTTTTTTCAACTTTCCATTTGGGCGCCAATTACATCACGTCCCTCACTCAAACAGGAGTTATCATAACTTGTCTACATGCCCTCGAATCACTAATTAGCTTGCGCGCCCAAAGGAACCGTCATTGCTAAGAGGCAGTATCTTTGTCACAGTTATTCCTCTTGCACTTTTACTCGAAATATTTAATTTTTCTTTTCTATTAATGAGATGCCGCGGAATCACTTGTGAAAATATCACTGACAAAAGGAATGTCTTTGGAGGAGTTGCTACTGCAGCAGCTTGTCGGCTTCCGACTCCCAGTTTGCCGTGGCCGTTTCGTCGCCGGCCACCAATTCGAAGTCACTGAGCTCGGCCTGCAGTTCTCGTTCCCACTCGGCGGCAGCTGCAACTCCTCGAATGGTCAACCAAAAGGTAAAACGTTCACATGCAGGGGAGAGAAAAGCAGACCAAACAAAAGAAAGGGACACTTGTGGGGTTCAGTGAGAAGTGTGAGTGATATTTATACTTTTCCTCAAAATATTGTCTGCCCACCCCTTGGAGAAAAGAAACTTGTAGGGGTGCACAACATGCCGAAGGATTGTAAGGAGTGGGTTTAATTCAAGAGTGAGGAGGAAGAGAGAGAGAGGCCTTTTTCTTGTCCTTAAGCTGCAGCACATGAGAGACAAGAACAGAGAAAACGCGTTAGTCAAGTCGCCTAATTTGCGGATGACAATTTCCTATATACGCTCTAGATTCAAGAAGAGAAATTATTCATTACCTACCTTGATTATGAAATAACTGGCTATGAAAAATTTTTGACTGCCCAAAACACTGAAAGCACTAATAAAATCCTCTAGGGCAATATAATTAATAATGTAATAGAAAAGTAGGGGTTTTTAATCTCCAGAGAAAAATAATTAAAAATGATGTGAAAAATGAAATATCAAACACTTTCTGGATAAAGTATAACGCAATGGCATTGCCCAATGCCCAAGGGAAATGAATTTTGTTAAAGTACTACTACAGTGGTGATGAACTGATCCTATGGGACTAGAGATGAACATGCATAAGCGAGTAGAAAGTTTTAGAAAAAACAACGAGCAGAAGACTATAAGGCTACACTATGTAACAAAATTTGCACTGGCTTTAGAAAATCTTTCTTGCCAAAAGCAAAGTGCACAGATGAGGATGGGTAGGAAGGGTTAAGTTTTTAACGCACCTGGTGCCTCATCGGCTACACCTAGTCTCCTGAGTTCCTGCAGCGCCTCCATGCGCTCCTGTTCGGTGGCATGCGTCTCGTCCGAGACAAACGACTGCTCCTGCTCAAGGGGGGAGTGCTGCGGGATGGCTACTGGCTCGGGGGCGACTACAGGGTCATGCAGTGAAACAACATTGACTAGTGTCTTGAGACTACAGACCTGTATCAGCGTCCAGACTGGAGTTGTTGCCGCCCTCGCTGGCCAAGGACGACAGCTCATTGCTTTGCTTGATGAGGCTGACCCGGTAAAAGTAATTTCGCCAGAAAGTTTCCTCGTTCACTCTGCACAAAAATTAAGTCATATTTATTAGCACTTACGAATGCAATTTTTGATATTTGGTTTACAAAAATATATTAATTTATTAGAGCTGCTGTAAAAAGTTTTTAAATAAAAACTCACACTTTGGGTACCAGCTCGAAGCGCATTTTTTCTAACTCGGGGTCCTCAACCAGCAAGGCCTGCGCCACAGGGGTAAACGTTTCATAGTCGAATTCAAATGTAACTCCTGTTGGTGGGGCACGAACAAAACTCCGCCGGTCCTGTGAATGAAAAAAAAATTTAATCATGCATTGAAGACGTTTTTCAAGTGTAAAAGCACCTGTGATAGGGATAGAATTTCCTCCTTGAGCTTTTCCTCGTTGGGGTAGCCGACCCATGGGGGCACGGCAGCTTCCATGCTCTTCTGCTTGCTGTTGATGAACGCGTCTTGCTCTTTGTTGAACTCGCCCAGGATGGTCTGAAGCCCACAAAATTAGTTCAGTAGAGGAAAGCAACAGTTATGTGGCAAAACAAATTTGTTGCCGAGAAAAGAGCATAAAAGAAAGAGAATAGGGGACCGAAAAACATAAAAAACAAATTCCGAAGAGAAAAAAGAGCCGCCTAACTTCTTTGGTAGGGTTGCGATTTGCTAAAAAAAAAAACGCGCAGGGAAAATTATGGGCAGCATGTCATGACTTAATGGGGCATTTGGTAGGCTATAAGGGCAGATGTTTCCTTTTTAATGCGTTCAAAAAAAAGTAAATAGAAGACGTGCCAAAAACTTTAGAAGCAGTAAATGGTTCCGCTTCCGCAAGAAAAAAGTTAAATAATGGATTTGCGTAGTTGGTTTTTTTTTTCAATTTCACGGGGTTGGCATTGCGAGTATCCAATTTGTTTGGTTTCCAATTTTCTCCATCAAATCCAGCAGCTTCACGTCTAATTTGGCGAATCGCTGTGAAAAACGCGTCTCGTGAGGCGCGCGTTTCGCCTCCAAGATTAATGGTAATCGAATAAGCGCGCCGCAAGTAAGTCTCGAAACGAGGCAAAATTGAATAAAAATCACGTGTGCGAAACGGGCAGGGGCAAAGTGGAGCAGTGTGCGAGCGAGCGGCCGCGGGCAGATCGATATGCAGTTGCAGATGTTGGTCGTGGCACCCACGCACTGCCTCGATCAATATCCCGCCACCCCATCTCCTCCCCGTTTCGGTGTCTCCGTTTTAAGCCCTTGAGCCGACCCTTTCGATCAAAAACAGTCCGCCGCCGAAATTTTGAAACAATGGCAGGCGACACGACGAGAGGCTCGGCGCCTTGGGCGAACCACTCTAGTCACCTTGCAAGGGACGACACGTTAATTGAATACTTTGATTTACAGACGCGTTGCAAGACCAAATTAATTGTGAAAAATTAATGGAGGCGCAATAAACTTATAAACACGACAACACAATTTTTTTTGATAAGTCAAAAAAATGGAAAATTAAAAACTTACTTTACTTTCCTCTAAAAAAGATATATGGATCGATTTAAGATATCTATAGATTTGAACGTGGTTTTGATCCTTTTAATTTTAATTCATCTGAGTGGAATTGTATCAGGATTATTCACAAATTAAAAGTTTAGTGATATTTAATAACAATTTTGGCACAATGCCAGCCCAGATTTTATGTTCCGCCATAACACGAGTTGAAGGAAATTCTTGTGCTGGGTCACAGTGGGGTTTGCCCAATTTCTGATTAAAAATTAAGTATCATTTTCTTCATTAATTGCAAGTTGAGAAATACTAGGCAGCTTTATTTTTTTTATGCCAAGAATTGAAAACGTTTGTTTTTTGTAACATTTAATTTTTAATATTCTGTGATAAATTCAATATTAAAAAACAAATTTCAAAAAGAATTAACATTTTTCAGATGTGCAATGTTACGTCTGTGAATGGCAACTTTAACAGCCGATGCTGCTAGAACAAGGAATTTGACATACTGCCCAGTGGTGTTTGCTCGTTGGCCTTATTCTGGATTAAAAAAAGGAGCAAAAAAACAACCAGAGCTCGTTCACGTCGGCCCCAAAAGGACTTCTATGTTTCATGCTCTGCGCTGCAACAGACGCTCGGAAAAATCGATGGCATTCAATGAACGGAGCCAACTGACACACTTAAGCGGCCAATTTTCGTTCCAACTTGTTATACAGGCTGGCAAAATTTTGCCCAGAACTTTCGGAAAGTCATCACGCGCCTTGGGTCAAAATTAGCAGCGGGCTTTTCTTATTTGCACAGCGCGGCGGCGACGCCAGAAATAGAAAAGCGGCTTTTCATTTCACGCACCACTGCCGCCGGAATATGGAATTACGCGTGGGGAACAACTTTGGACGAGTCTTCAAATTGCTTTTGAGAGTAAAATGAAACTCACGTTCTTTTCCACAGTCTCCTTAATCTTGGCGCCAGCCTCGCTGACCTTGGCACCTGCCTTATTCACCGCGGAGTAGAAGAAGCTGCCGAATGCCTTTGCTCCCTGCATGGCTTTATTTCCAGCTGAAAATTTCAATTGGAAAAGACCAAAAATCAGACACTGTTCAAATTATGGAAAGCCAATTTAATTATAATTTTTGTATAAATAGAGGGATCAATTAAAATATGATGAAGCAATTTATTTCTATTAAGGAAAATTTCAACTTTGACAAGAGAAGCGCGGTGTTTTCATTGTTTTTGAAAAATACATCATAATGCAAAAAAACACGATTCAATAAAATATAACGGAGTTTTGAAAAGTTATGTTGCATAACAGTTTGAAATTCATGGCTATGAAAATAAAATTTGAACAAAATAATCTGGGAAATATAAATATTTAATTCAGAAATGATTTGCAAAAATAGAAAAATTTAAATGAATATTAAAAAAATAAATTATGTATTTAAATGCTGGAAAAGAAGGCAATATTGCATAATTTTTAGTTTCAATAAGTGTCTGCAAAAGATAAAAATGGTTCATGGAAGCAATTAAGTAAAAACTATTCTGCGACGCACTTAAATTCTCAGCTGTCCTTCGCGTACACGCAGGACAAAATTTTATTTATTTCACTGCGCAGTACCCCACTTTCCGGTTTCATGCCGGAATTGATAAAGCGGGGCGCACTCATGGCTCGAGAGATAGTGCATCGCGAGAAATTGAAAAAAAATATATATGTAATGATACAATTCGAGTGTCGCAATTCACGGCGAACTCACCTCCACCTGCGGCGCCGTCCTTGGCCTCGTCGCCCTCGTTCTCCGATACCTGTTGCTCACTGTCGGCGCCGCCCGTGTCGCTGCAAAGGAAATTCACAAAATGAAAATGCGACCTGCTGCCCAGAACACCTGACAATCAGAGAGCAGATCCACACGCTGTTTGAAACGCTCGACTCAAAAGGACGCACTTTGATGATATTTTTCTATGATTAACTCACAAAAAAGTGCTGACGAGGAATTATTTCTGGTGGAAATTTTAAATTTTGTACATTTATGTGGCACTACTTATATGAGAGTGCTAAGTGCAAATTATTTTGAGTTTAATTTAAATCGCCGTAAAAATAAAAATTGTTAATTAAAAAATGAGTGGCAAAATTAACAAAAAAATAATATCTAATAATAATCTGAATGTTGAATTGGGTACTAAATTATTCTGAATATATAAAGAAATTTTAAAATTATAAAATGGATAAATTGAGTTGATTATTACATTGGTTTCAGCTTGATGGAGAAGTGCAGCCCTTTTTTTGCACGTGCGTTTCAAACATTTGCCGGAATTCCGTGTTTCCGTCGACACCAAAATTTGTACACAACGAACTCGCACAGACGAACGACGCCAAGAGGCGGGAAATTTTTTTCCACTCGCGATTTGGCGCTGGACAAAAATGTACAACAACAATTTTGTTGTGCCGTCCCCAAAACTGACGGACACATAAGCCAATATTCATGCAGAAAAAACGCCGCTATAGGTCATGCAGCCCGAATCGATTTTCACTCGCTCGCGAGACCCGAATTGATTTTCCAGGGGGGCGACCCGAACCACACGGACTTTCCGTTCTTTGCTCTCTGACGAGATGGGGGGTGAAAGTAATGAGACATGATTTTCCACTGTACATTTGCGGCGACACATTTTTTTTTTTCATAGAGTGAGTGAGGTGTGTGCAACTAAATTAGAGACATATAGAAAGAGACAGTTACCCCAAGTACCTAGAATTCTCATCATCCTCCTTGGAGGCGGGGGCCGGCTCGGAGGGCTGCTGCAGGTGCTCGGGAGGGTCGGGCACCACCTCCTCGCCGGTGGCGCGGCTCTTGACCGCCTGGATGAGGCCGCCGCCCGCGTTGCTGATCAGCCCGCTGCCGGCCCCCAGCCATGAACTCATCTGGCTCTTCACGTTGGTCAGCATTTCCATCTTGCTGCCACCTTTCGTCGGACTGAAATGTTCGCCAGCCAAAACTCAAAATTAAATTTGGTTTTAATTAAAACAAAATTAAGAATTGGAATGGTTGAAATATAATTAATATTTTTTTTAATTATTATGGATAAATGATAAATGTAGTCAACGGATTGATAGAAAAAAGGAGATAAAATAAATGTAAGAGTGACTGATGCTTGCAAAGAATTACTCTTATTCATTCAGACACATTTTGCCGTTCCGTGCTTTGTTATTCAAATGCATGATAACGCGATAATCCTTTTTCCTTTTTTTCCAATTTTTCTTCCCTGCTCTTGACAGTCTCGAGACTATCGACCCTCAAGGGAAATTCAGGTTGCAAAAAAAATTAATCACGCGTTGAGCTGCTTCTCCTCTGGAACTCCTCTTTTTTTTGCATCAGGAATATTTTTATTGTTTTTCTAATCACCAGAGAAATTCATACATATGAAAAATTTCATCGAATATTAAAATTGAGACTGAAAATTCGGAGAATATTCTTCTAGATCATACCTCAAAGGCTTGCCATCAGCATCAAGGGCAACCTCGGGCTCGACGGGTTGGTGCTGCTCTTCCTTGACGGGGGACTCGGGTTTTGGTGGCGGTTGCTCGCCCTCGGCGGCGCCTTCCTCAGGCTTCTTGCCGAAGTAGCTGGTAAGGCCGGACACTTGGTTGGTGAGGCCGCTCGTGAGGCCCGAAAACATGGACATGGCTACGCGATAACTGGCCAACGACGACTGAAAGTCGAAAAGTACGTCGTCCTGCCGATCGAACAATCGTCTTCCTGCTGATATTGACGTTCGGGCGCCAGTGACATCTGCAGGAGGGCGCGAGAACGACTCGCCTCTTACGTCACTGGTGCTCACGAATCTCCAAACTGATCCGAGCGCTCTCTGCCGGAAAATTGGAAAAAAACTTTCCTAAACTAAGGATAAATTTAGACCCTGAAAAATACAAAGTTATGTTTTAAATGTATGTGTTAAGCATAATTAATAAAGATTGTTTTTTTTTATTACAATAATTAGAAGAGATTTAAGTTTTAAATAATTTTTATATGAGGCCGCGCATTTCTTACCAAAATTTAGGATGTACCAACAAATTAAATTTAAATTGAATAATCTTCAATCTCATTTCAAAAGCCCTAAAAGTTGATTCATATTTTTATCACCTCCATTAACATTTAGGCAATCTTTTCCTTAATTTGAAATAGAACGTTCTTTAAATTAATTAATCTTTTCATTTCATTGAATAGTCCAGGTCATTGTTGTGTTTGCACTGTTGGCAGCTTTGAAGTGAACATCACCACAAAACAAGGGAGAAAGAGCGCCCTGTTGCTTCTCGCACTCGGTCACCCCAAAGGGGCACCATGGGGTGCTGTGGTGAACAACGGGAGGGCCTGAGGGTGCGTCAATGCACAGACGTCACCTTCCTCGTCATATTCATCGTGTTTGTCTGTATATTGGTGAGTGTCAGCTTCTGGAGACGATGGGCGTGGTGGTCGCGGCGCCGCCTAAGCTGTTGTCCACTCTGCTCTCCAGCAGAGATCGAGGGATAAAAATAAGTCGTGCGTGCCTCTTATCTCTGCTATGTTTGTTTGTTCTGTGAGCAGCTCTTCGTCGCAGCGTTCGCCATCGTCTATGGCAACCCCCTGCTACTGGCGCACGGCTATGACAGCTTCGGCAACATCTGCGGCAAGACCAACGAGGAGCAGGCCGGTGGTCTGGTGCTTTCTGGGCTTGACATGTCACACAGACCGTAATAAAAATTACTTGTGCTTTTTTTCCTGAGAAAAAATTCATTACTGAATACATTTATAATTTATTTTTATAATATTAAGTAAAATTAATTTCTGATTATTTTAATTAAATATAATATTAAGTAAAATTAATTTCTGATTATTTTAATTAAATTTAAAAATGTTAAAAATGGATTTCATTTTTTTTTTCAATTTTGGATCTTGAAATAAAAATGAGTTTCCCTTAAATTATTATTTGATTAAGAATTCTTATTTTTATTTCTTCCTCATTTTTAGGTATCTCTTCGATCTTGACGTGAATCAAGTGAACGAGTCAATCAAGATCTGTGTGAGTCGATGCCCGGACAGAGATTTGCTCAGCATCGATGACCTCCAAGAGTTTTACAACAGAACAGGGGCGTCTTTGTGTAGCTACAACTTCAACTTCACTGATCTGGAAAAAGAAACGCATCTCTCTCCTGAAGTATGTTTTTCGTTACTTATGCATGCTTGAGTTTTTTTATTGTATTAAATAATACATCCCTTTTATTTTTGCTTAATTTTTTCCAGGACCAGTTTTGCAGCCCACTGGGTCCGTGCCCCGTCCTTCCAGTTTTCCACAGCGACCAAGTTTTAAAAAGATGCATCCCAGCAGCTGATTCGGCTATTGCCACAGACGTCCTCCGCTCATTTTATGAAGTCCTTAACAGTCCAGCAGCTCTTGAGCAACTTCTGGCCGATTTATACCAAACATGGCCACTTATTTTTATACTTTCTTTTGTATCCTTCGTGCTCTCATTTGCTATGGTGCTCTTGCTGAGCTCTGCCACCGTAGCTGTGGCAATAGCATTTACTGTCACAGTGTCCCTCGCATGTCTTACTGGAACTTCAGCCCTTTGGTGGACTTATTTTGAGACTAAGTGGCTCCTCGATGAAACTCCAATTGAGCAAATGTTAGAGGAAACGGCCACCAACGAAAGATGGTTGCTGATTTTGGCCGTTCTTGCCACTTTCTTGACGGTAAACCAGAAATTCAATTTTTTATTTATTTTAGAAATTTACATTTTAAATCCCACTGTAGATAGTGTTGCTGTTTATTGTATTCCACGTTGCCAGAAATGTGAAATCCCTGACCATCCTTTTCAAAGAAGCCAGTGGCTTTATCAAGGTTTTATTATTTTGTTGAATTTTGTACAGCGAGCATTATTCCTATCCCTAAATTGCAGGCCCTTCCATCCCTTTACCTGCAGCCCATCATTACAGTAGCAGTTTTGTTGAGTCTTTTCTGTGCATGGATGTATGTGGTTCTCTGCTTGGCCACTGCTAGTAAGAAAATTGTGACCATTCTAAGCCACAGTTTAAACTATATTTATTTTCTTGCAGACACTCCAGAAGCAAGACAAATAATTTTGTATAAGGAGGACCAATTCAACTTAACTTCAATCAATAGTATGTATTTAATATCTAGTCTAAAATTATGTTATGACAACCTTATAAATGTTTCTGCAATATAAGCAAATAAATTAAGTTAGGAAATTTATGATGAGTGAATTTGGTGAATGTACAAAGATTTAATAATTTTAACATCTCACTTTATAATATTTCAGAATTCACACTCCTGCAGTTTGTCGAGCTCTCATGGGTTCGACTTGGATGGTGGGTGTACCTGGTTGCATTGGTGTGGGTGTCGGAGCTGGTGATGTCTTGCCAGCAAATGACCACAGCCGGTGCCCTCGTTGACTGGTATTTTCTCACCAATGGTAGACAAGACGGTGGAGCGCGCCTGCTGCTCACGTCCGTGCGGCGCCTCGTCTGGTACCACCTGGGCTCAGTTGCACTGGGCTCGCTGCTAATCGCCCTTTTCAAACTGCCGAGACTTGCTCTGAGGCTGTTGGGCTTGAAAAAGAAGCCATTGTGTTATGAACGAGGCCTTCGCTATGTCAACCATAATGCCTATGCAGTCATAGCAATTGAGGGAATTGACTTCTGCCCCTCCGCCAGAGTGGTGAGTTTTTGTAGATATCTTAATTTTTTTAACATACATAATTAGAAAAAAGTGTTATATTAAGGATCTCTGTAGGGAACTATGCTTTATGCTAGTAATTTTTTAAGATTTTCATTGTGTATTTCTCCATTATTTAAAAATGCGAGGAATTTCTTTGCTAACAGAACGATTTTTATTACTAGGCATATCAAACTATGGAGGGCGATCGACTGCACTTCTCTTCTATAAATAGTGTTGGTGACTGCTTTTTATTCTTAGGTAAGCAGTGGTTTAAATAATAACACACAAGTATATTATTCGCAAATTTGTGTCAAAATATTATCTTTGACAACTTGCTAGACGCAATGACAAACATTTCAGAAATTTGAAGTTTGAACACGAATTGTTATGTTTTTTCTGGATTTTAAACCGTTCGTTAAGGCACATTAAACTAATTCTGAAATGACGGGTTTCCCTCTAAATTGGGACCATCATAAATGGTCGTTTAGTGACGGTGGTTGCGCACTTTGCAAATCGATCACGTCCCCTGCTAGAACACAGACACAGCATTTTGATAATTTGGGTTGATTTTGAGTTGTACGTGCCCGTAGGTAAGTGCTGCGTGACTGCCGTGGTGGGTTGCGTCGGTTTGCTGATGATGCGTCAGGACCCTCAGCTACACGTCTACGCTGTTCCTTTGCTGGTGCTGTGCGTCTTTTCCTTCTACGTCGCCCACTCGGTCTTCACTCTCTATGAGGTAAAAATTGATCATACACACCTTGCCTTGTCTGCTCCGAAATCAATATCGGGAAAAAAAAATTTGGTCCCTGGAGACCATTTTCGGCTCTTTCCACTGATATAAGTTTGCGAAAGTGAAATGCTTGGGCTTTTTTTCAGTAATCTGCTGCAGTTAGCAGGAAAGTTTTAACGGCCCTGTTTACAAGAAAGTCGGATCCTTTTTATCCATCCTGTTTTGTGATGCAAATGCCCAAATTAATACATTCCGCCAACGGTGCCCATGAATTTTCCAACAGCCAAAAGTTTCTGAATAATAAGAGAAGCTCCAAATGATCGCAATTAAATCAGCAGCCCCCTTCAATAATCCCAACTTTTCCTTTCCGAAAGACATGATAATTTTTCACGCAGATGGCTGTGGACTCGCTTTTCCTGTGCGTGGCCGAGGACCAGGCTCTGAGCGTGGGGCAAAACGCTTTCTGGCGGCCACACATGGTGCAGGCTCTTGTCAATCTGTGTGCAAAGCGCACCGCGCAACCAGAGAGCCAGCCCATGTTTTGACTTTAAAAAGTGCAATTTATCTTCAAAGAGCTTTTGAGAATCTAAAGGACTGAAAAGGAACAGTATAGATATTTAATGTTTTTTGTGCTCTCACTTTTCCGGCGTGCCAATCTTTGCTCTTTCCAATCTTGTTTTCAAGTGATGTTTTGGAACCAAGCCAAGTGTTACAATAATGTCTCCTTTTTTTTAAAAAAATGGATGTTTTAAAAGTTGTCGATTTTTATCGAGATGATAATTTCAAAGGCGTGGTTAAATGTTTTGCAAAGGTGAGAGTGCTTTTATCAAAGTACTTTATAAAGTTTTATAGTCTTAAAATATTTACAAAGTTTTAAAGGCAGTTAAACTTTTAAATGAAAATAGCGGCAAAGTTACTTGAAACGTTAACAATGAATCTTGCCAAATATTATGCTTTTGAGTAAACTATTTTGTAACATAGAATTTTGAATGTAAGAAAACGAAGTGTCCAATTATCAAAGGTGCCAAGCAGTTTTTGTGCCATTCCTGAAGTTTTCCACGAACTGTGGTGCCATTGCCAACTATATAAGTTGTTGTTTATGAATTTAAAAGTGACAAAAGATATTTGTGAGAAATCTTTTTTAAAGTTTACATTGTTCATATCGTAGGGGAGTATCTTTTAATTAAATCATCTATTTTGTTGAAATCATCAAGTGTTTTTGTCTGTGTTAAAATCCTTTGGCTCAAGCTGCGAACGCTTTGCTCTCTAGAGTGAAATCAATATTGACTGGCGCGCTCTACCTGGCGCTGTTTCTATTCGTGTGACTTGCGAAAGATATTATTTTCAAGCTCGTCTCGTCTTGTCCTGCTGGTTGTTTTCAGTGCAAATATTTTCCTTATCTTTCCTTGTCTCATTAATTTCTATTTCCTGGGAAAAAAATATCAAGAATCATTTAATTTTTATTTTAATTATCTTCTGGTCTTAAAATTTTAATCTCTACTCAGGAGAAGAACTAATTTAAAAAGAAGTTCCAATTACAATAAGAGGATATTGTGCCTGTGCTAAAAAAATAATAACATGTAGTGTACATCTGGGGAGGAAGTTCATTTTTTGCCTACTTAAAATGCCGCTCGTCGGGGCAGATTAGGGAGGAAGCGGCGGCGCACATCATTTACAAAGCAGCCAACGCGAGTGAATGAATCCGGCAGGGCGGTCGGCCAATTGATATTCTGCGGGTGTCGCCGAAAAAGCAGCCAGCCGGCCCAACTCCCTTGCGCCACTCGCGTGCACTCAATTCTGCTCGCGTTTTCGCCAGCAATTTGGTGCAGAATGAATGAAGGGTCACGTCGGGCCCGTCGACGATGGGCCCTGCCTGCTCCCCACACTGCGCCCATTCACCACATTCGCAAGGCATGCTGCACGCGTCACCAATTCTATTGCTTCCTACAAGCGATGACCTGCTTCCCGTGTCCATTGCAAACCAATTCTTATTTGCTTTTGCTGAACCAAAACGTCAAAAAAAAATTATCAAGGTGTTTGGCTGTCATGACGTGCTCTTTTAAAATAATATTTTTTATCTTTTGATTAATTGCAAGTTTTAATTATTTTAATGATTAATGATAGAGACAGGATTGAAAAATTCATCTGATATTATTTAAGTTTACATGTATTGACATGTATTTTTTAAGATAACCACAAATCGTAAAATTTTATTAATGTACGATTTATTGTTTTTTACTATATGTATTTATTAAAAAATATAATATGATCTTCTGTTAATGTTCACGATCTGCAGCTCCATTCCATGAGCAAGGAAAAATACTAAAAATGAGCATAATTGGATAAATACAAACTTAACAAAAGAAGCAAATATAAATATTGAAATTAAAACAAAGAAAACTATACGTATTATTTATGTAACAAGACCTATTGAAAAACGTTAAGAAAAGATAAAATAATTTCTTATGTATAAGACTCATAATGAAAATTGTAAAGAAAGTTCATTTTATTGTCTGAAAATAAAAATCGATTCATTTTTTTTTTTAATTCAGAAGTTTCCGTAGTTCAAAACATATATTATTGGCAAATTCTAAATTTTTTTAATTAAATCTTATGGTAAAAATTTTAGAGTTTTAAATACATCTTTGCATTCAGAATGAAATTTCAGTGCTGCTTCCATAAAATGTAAAAATAGGGAAGCGCCGCCTGCAGCAAAACAGTGCACTATGTTGCGAATCAGAGGGAAATTAGGTGGGGGGCGGAGTCAGTAATTGTTTACCATTCGGGAAGTTATGTCGTGCATTGCTTTTCTGTTCAAAATTCGGTCGAAATGAGGGTTTCTCGGGCGAAAACAAGAGGAATTCCGGTCCAGCCCGGCGACAAGCATCGGCCGAGTCCAATTCAAGATTCGTTCACAGAGAAAGCAGCAGGTTGGTTTCAATTTAACCCGGTTTTTGTATTGAATTCTCGCCAGAAATATCAAATTTTTCAATTCTTATTTTAATTCCTTAAATATGCGATAAATGTTATCAAAAAGCGTCAATCTGTCATGTCATTGGTAGAAAAGTTCAGAATTTTTGCGTATTTCAATGCAGTGGCCTATTTTCAGCAAGACCAGTCTTGATTCCGGTTTCTTTTATCAACAGAATTAAAGCCGTTGATTTTTTTACTCCTGTCCTGTTTGCAAGAGAAAATCGTCTTTACGTCAAATTTTTTTGGCTCAAAATATATAATTATTTTTGATGTATTTTATGCCAATATCACTTCAAAAAATTGCAATCACACGTGGCAAAATGATGCGGCTTTCTTACGATTTGCATGAATCTTGCAATCTGGTATTATTTTCCTAATTTTGTTGATTGCAAGTTTCACACTTTAACTGTCTTTAACACGACTTGTTTTATATTCATCTTTTTTTTGTTATCTTTCGCGATGAATTTCATTTAATTATCCTGTCGCCTATTTCCTGCCGAGTAGCTAAATTGAGGAGAGAGAACTGAGAGAGAAGTTGCGGAATCCAATTTAATGAAGGGCCGCGAGCTGCGTTCTGAGCGTCGCAACAAAGGAATCTGAAGAAATGTGCCAAACTCTTTTCCTCTCTGTTCTTTTTGTCTGATCAAAGACCCAATTTGCACAAAGGTGCTCCGCCCGCGACGCTCAAAGGCGTTCTGATTTTGATTCATTGTGAATCTTCACTCCTTTCATTGTGTGTGTGTGTCTCTGGCGTGCAGAGCAGAACCGGGGAGGACAATTGCCGCCGAGCAGATGTGCGCGCTTGACCGAGTGTTTCATTTTGGCCGCTGGCCAAGGTCATCCATTGACGACGAACGGCCCACGGCGGCCTCGCGCGCATCATTGCCGCCGCCGCGGTCACCCTTGATGAAAGAACAAGTTCCATAGCAATCAATCGATTTGAAACAACGCTATTATTTTGTCTGGTAAAAAACCTTTGTCGTCAGGAAATGAGTTTGCTGCTTTGAAGACGTACCTAGAAACTGCAAACTGATATTTTTGTCAGCGATTTTGATTACTTATAGAAAAGGGATAAAAATTCGAACAAAAATTTTGATTAATTGATCAGCCAGGGGGTATATATTTTATTGATTATTAAATTCCTAAGAAATCTTTCTCATAAAATATTTTACTGAAAATCAGGTTTACAGATTTTTGTTTAGAGACGTAGAATAATATGAATAATTTATTTAAAATATGCATAGCTACCAATATTATGTACACCGCAGCTGATGGGATCGTCTTTATCTTGGAAGTTTTGTCAAAATCTTTGCTTCCACTGGTGGTGCCGCTTTGTGCACTAATTTTCGTTCAAAGACATTTTTACTCATTAATTGGATATTTATTTAAACAATGTTTTTTTACAATTTTTAAAAAACAACAATAATAATAGCAAAGTAATTGAATTTCTTGTCTCTGCATTTTCTGAGCGGCTTTTGCAACGTAATTTTTTATGAAGGGCTGGTTTTAGTTTTCAGAATGTTTAATTTTTTTATTGTGAAGCTCATTGGGCAATTTTCTTTGAATTTTTAAGTTATTATTGCTATTTATTTGTCAAAATTGTTGCATCACATTGTTTACATTCAATTTTTGAAAACAATTTATTTGGATAAAAAGGCTAGCAAGAATTTAGCTACAATTTCTTAGATCAAATGAGCCTCGGTTGACGTGGGTTTTGTTCTTATCACTAACAATTAGTTTTTATCAATTCAATGCAACAAGTAACCAAAAATATAAATATTTTTCTTTCTCTCATGATTTTTTTAAATTTTAATTTTTATCTGATCTTTTCGACTTACAATTAGTTAATTTTTTCCTCTTTAAAAAAACCGTCAAGCAACTCTTCATTAAGCATTCCTTTCTTGTGCTGCGCCGAGTCCCCTCGGAGATGGGATAATGGCAGAGAGGAAAAAGTGCAACGACAGTGTTTCCAGCCAGGCAGGGCATTAAGTTGCCGGCTAGAATGAATGGGAGCCGCCGCAATGAGAGCAGCTCTAGCGCCGAGATGGCCTGCTTTTCCGGCGCGCACAGCATTTTACTGCGCGTCATTGCTGCGAGAGAAGAGAGAGAGAAATATATATGTATATCCCGGCAGCCACAAAGTCGTCGGCAAACACACTTACACACAAACTTGTGTGCATCCTCGGGGGGCAGCTACGGGGTGGGTGCTTTCCTCGGTTGCGCGGTCACCCACGCAAGTGTCAGCCAAACCGAGCGACACCTTCTTGCGCCGCTGGCCCGCGGGATTGCGGCGGTCATCTCTGCGGTGGCGCCCTGTTTTCGTTCGAGCTTTGGGTTGGCCGCAAAAAAAAATATTGATAAAAAAACGTTTGTTATGGATGTATATATCCCTCGTGACGCCAACTGCTGACACAGTCATTTGAATGTTTGCTGTCTGCGCACAACTCGCTCCACCTACGCACAATGGCTGTGTTTTGGTTCGCGAAGTGAGCGACGCGCTCTGCCAAATTCCAGCTTCCAGCCAAACGCTTGGCCTTCGCTCCTCGCTATATAGCCGGCGTCTTGCTTGAAAGAGGGCTAGACTATATATAGGGTGGGTTTACCAGTGCTTTAGGCCCGAGGTGGTGCTTAATGAAGCTCCCGATGTCGATGCGCAGCGGCGCTTCCAGCTTGTTTGCTTAAAAATACACGCCAAAGCACCGACGCGGAAACCATTCATCCGCCCGATCTCTTTGTCTTTACTTTGGTTTTAATTAGTTAAAATAATAGACTCCGTGCATCCACGTTCTAGATAATCTGAACTTTTGTTGATCAACAAAGGAAAATCTGAAATAATTAATATTTGGAAACAATCCAACACAGTAGATAAATTTCAAAAGTGAAAAAATCAATTATTTGTTCAAAATTGTGCTTCTTTGTTGGGAACTTTTCTTATAATTGTTATATTTATTTATTTATTGATATTTTATTTATTCTCCATTCAATACATTAAAATACACAACATCTTACATCAAGTCAAATACTCAAAGTTAGTAATAACGCACTGAAAATAGTAAGTTAAATAATTTTTTTATTTTAAAGTCTTCTTTAGCTGCGGACGGAAGACAAGCGTCTCCAGCAGGTGGCACGCGCGAATCTGGCTTAAGATAGATTTAATGGGCAATTCGAATTCAATTTTGAATCGCAAATAATAGAATTTGATTATTTTTTTTCTTTTAGTGATTATCATTTGA